CTTGGGCCCAATTTTATTCTTGCTGTATGTTAACGATCTGGCTAAATTGGATATATCTGGAACATTCACCTTATTTGCGGATGACACCACGGTATTTTGGCGTAATGGAGATCCGGCCATTTTGACTCGAACAATACACTCTGATTTAGAAAAAATAAAAAATTGGTGTGAATCGAATATGTTGTCGCTGAATTTTTCTAAAACAAATCTGGTCACATTTAAGTGGGATTTGGATCAGGTAACTTTAGGTTGTCAGACGGTTGAAAGTAAGCTTGTAACGAAATTCCTCGGTATATTTATTGATAGTAATTTGAAGTTTGACACACAAATTAATGCACTGAAAAAGAAATTGTCTTCTGGTTGCTTTGCCGTGAATGTCATATCTCGTGAACTCGGATTTTCAGCTTCAATGACCGCATACTATTCACTCATGGAGAGTCATCTTAGGTATGGAATTCCATTTTGGGGCTCTGCCTGCCAGGTTTTATTGCAAAGTATTTTCGTCATTCAAAAAAGAGCTATGAGAATAATATTCAAAAAGAGGATTCGCGACTCGTGTAGGCCAATTTTCTGCAAATATAAAATACCAACAATATTCGAAATTTTTATTATAGAGACTGTTTGCCTGCTCCACAAACATAAAGAAAAGTTCTTGAATCGAGCAGAAAGGCATACACGAAAGGAGATGATACTTGTCCTTCCACTCCCCACATCAACTTTGACCAAGCATTCTCAAATCTATAGAAGTAGACAGATATATAATCATTTACCGAAACAAATAACAGCAATCAATGATCAGAAGCAATTTAGGAAATCGGTAAAAAACCTTGTGATGGGAAAGTGCTTTTATAGTTTGGAAGAGTATTTTGCATCTAATTTCTAGTCTTTCTATATAAATGTTACTATCTACATCAAGATTTTAATAATAAACTGTAGTTGTGAAAGCACGTGTGTACCGTACCGTATTATACCCTTTGTGTAAATATTTTTTTAGTCTTGTTTCTTTTACAATAGTTTGTGTTTTATATATATGTTATACCTTTGTCGACGAAATGTAATACATTTTAGACAATAAAGATTATTCTCTCTCTCTCTATAAATGTAATCCTTCCCTAGCAGACCTTTGAAAAATGTTCAGCCAGAAGATCAACAATGGTTTTCCCTGTATCAGCTAATCGATCATCGAGGGGCATGTTATTTAGAATCTCATTTTTTTTTAATTCGAGCTCTGGCCTCAATTTCAAAATCCAATAGCTGAATATATGGAAGGGTGCGACATTGAAATAAATACAAAATATTTCAAACCCTGAGAAAAGCTATACCTACTATCGGATGGTACTAATTAAAAAATATAGGAATCAAAATGAAATTCGAGGTGAGATCGACCCCTCTTGTTCCACCCAAAGTTCTATATAACTGTACCAATTCTGACGTCACCTTTGTACAAATTTTCGTGCGGAAGATCTGGAGTTCATTCAAATAATAAGTGGCGTACTTGGTTTTTCTTCGCTTTTTTTTCAATTTTCAATTAGATGAATCAGAGAAAATTTGATATTTTGGGAATAATTCATATCGATATGTGCTGAATATACAGGGTGTCCCAAAATTGCTGGGACACAGAGCTATATATACAGTGTGTCCCACTTACCATGCTCACCATGGGTATCTTTTTAACGGTGAGAGATACGAGGTCGGTTAAAAGACACCAAATGTGGAGTTTGTCAAGGCCAACTATAACGTGAAAAAATATTTTGATAAAATCTATTCGTTTTTGTTTTATACGCAAAAAAACAGATTTTGATCATTTTCATGTCTCCTCCGTAACTTCTTCATTTATGAAAATATTCAAATAGAAATTTCACATTCTCATGGCAGTTTTTCAAAGTGATTTCGAAAAAAATATGAAATTAATACCAACTCTTCTAGAATTTGAGATATCAGCATCAACTTTAGTTTTTCAAATGTAGGTCATAGCTCACTATGACTTAGTTACAAATAACTTTTTTTTCTCTTACAGATGATATGTCGCAGTAATAGTTTTGTGTTAATAACAACGGAGTTATCGTCATTTATACAAAGACAAGAAATTATTTGGAAGCTACCATCTTGAATTTATAAATGTTAACAAAAAAATCATGATCTCCGACCTCAAAAACCCTCACATACCAATTTTGAATGGAATCGGACCAAATCTTGTCCGCCATCTTGGAGCAGCCATTTTTTTAAATTTAAACAAAAATTCCATAACTCCGATCAACTTGGAATTTGGCAGGTGTTCATAATTTCGGTGACAATACATTATTACTCTCTCACCGTTAAAAAGATACCCATGGTGAGCATGGTAAGTGGGACACACTGTATACCACGTGTAATAATAAGTAGCTAGATGAGGTAGATCAAAATAAGTTGATTGGACCCAATTCACTCATATACCAAAATGTACCGTTTTGTCCGTGATGATGAATTTAATGAAATTTGACAAAAGTACCTACATTTTCAGAGGATTACTCACTCCTTTTCACTTTTCAGTGATCAAAGAAACCCAAAAGAAATTGTAGAAGGTCCTCACCCCTGATTTTTTTTTAGAAAATTCTTAAAAGGGTGGTAAATATACGGTTCTCAAATTTCTTATTCAAATAAAACATCTCAGAGATGTTAAAAGTACGAGATTTCGAGACATTGAACCTCCACTGCGATGTTCTGTTCACACATGAATAGAACTATTATAGAACAGCCAATGTCCGCCGCAGGCGGCAATTATCATCCGAGATGTCCTTGATATGTCACAAAACTACCTTCTCCCCATAGTTCTTCTTAAAGCCTTTTCATGGACACAACAGAACATTTTCAACGCGTCTTGCGCACATTAAATCGCTGTAAAAAAACATTTTCGAGGTACTTTTCTGAAGCCTTTTGTCAAAATGAACTTTTGCATTAGGATTCCATTTCCCTTGAATGAAAAAATGCATTAAAAATAGACTGAACATAAAAATATTTTCTTGATATGAAATTACCTTCTTAATCGGTTTCTGAGTAGTGCTTACTACACACAGACATATAATTGGAAATAGGTTTCCCAATTTTTGAAATGTTCTCCACAATGCATAATTTTGCAACTGCGGAGAAGCTGTGTATTGATGAATTCGTACTTTTATAATTATATTGATTACACTGAATAACACATCTTGCATCTGATGTTCATTATTACAAACTAAATAAGTCTTTTAACACAATAAACTTCACCAAATTCCTTTCTGTTCGTTAGCAGCGTGATGTAAGCGTGACACGCTGCAAACGCGAATGCCAATCGCGAACAAGAAGAGCAAAATCGAAAACAAATCAGAATTCATCGTATTGTGACGTAAGCTTGAGACGTTGTGGTGGGGCAAACAAAGAAAGGGCACAAAAGAACAAAAACAATACTTTCAATATCCTTAATCTAAGACCTCTTTGGGAAGTGCATATTATTACGCCTCAAAAAAACATCCTCATGCCTACATTTCTAAAATTACATCCCAGGGATACCTCTCAGTAGGCAAACAAAGAAATGCCACAGAAGAACAAAAACAATACTTCAATATATCCTTCAAAAATACCTCTTTGGTCAGTGCATATTACGTCTCAAAATAACATCTTCATGCCAACATTTTCAAAACATCCCAAAACATCCCAGGGATGTTTGTGCTCGCTGGGTCGTGCTCCCCCTATTACATGTTCTCCATTGATTCATTCCCAAACATTCATATACCATCTGTGCTGATGACAGATGAATGTGTGCATCATCAAAATGGCCAGCCTATAATTTTCAAAGTTCAATAATGCAAAAATGGTTACGAATATCAATTTGGTTCGCAAGATAGAAAATTTTCGTGTTTCAATTCTGTATCACATATGGCCACAAAATATATGGGGTGTTCAATTTGAAAAACTCGAGAAAAATCACTTCGAAAAGTTCCAAATTGAAAAATCATTTACAACCACACCCTGTATAATTATTGGAGGCATGAAAATTATCCAGAAATATTCCGTATCTTTCCACCAAATGATGATATTATGATTATTTTCTCTTGAATTTCATAATTCCGACGACGACTGTATATATTTTTTTCAGTGTATATACCTAAAGATGCATCTGCAGATGCAGACATTATTATTTCAACAACAAAAATCTTAACTTTGATATGATCGAGATATAGTCAATGCTTCAGAAAATGTGCTTATATATACAATCCTCAATAATTGGGAATACTCAAAGATACAATGCATTCCATTTGAAATAAAAAATGCTCCAGACTCTAGTCTTTTTTGGAGCGCCCTGTACATGCGGCAAAAATTTCTAGATATGAAACCTTATTGACGCTGTCTCATTTACATTAGTTTTTGAATCATTCTATCATAGATCTAGAAAGAAATCGAGTTCCGACAGTTCCGACGCACTACATTGCTACACGACCCTGTATAATATATATATTTTTGAACTTGTCTTTTTGAGCTGTATTCAAAAATAAAATGGAACAGAGGATGTTCCTTCAGAAAATTTGGAGAAAATGATCGGTTATGGCACAATTCATCATCACTTTCTGGCAAATTCAAAATTTCAAACAAGGATCAAGATATAAGATTTGATACTCAGTTTTTAAGTACCTATAGGGCTTCAAAATTTGGCTATTTTTCAAGAAGATCGTGTTGAAGTCTGAAACAGGTCATCTTAGACCCATATTATGTTATCATACATCTTGAGGTCTACCAGGTCTATCCAGAAATATAATGTAATTCAGGGCATTCCATTTGAAAAAAACATATGTTTAGATGTGTTTAGTATGCCGCAGACCATGGAACATCCTGTATAGTTGCCATTGTCTAAAAAAAAGTTCATAGGACTGTAAACAACTTTGATTCTAATTTTTTTTTGTTCAATTTTATAGTTTACAAAATATGGGGATGGCCCTGATACCCTGTGAAGAGCAGGAATATTCCATATTGAAAAATTACAACTTATTAGACTTACATTCAATATATTACAAAATTTGTCCACTCATTTACAAAAGTACGTTTTGAACACATATGAAGGTACAACTGCTGCTTATCAATTTGGACACTACTTTATTCAAATCAGCATTATTCATCACCATTGTATAGTGATATACAACATACAAACATTATTACATACCAGAAAAAAAAAAACAAAACACAAACATTCAGATCATTGCTGATTGACCTTTTTGCTCTAGTTATTATATATCACTTCTTGAAATAAATAAAGGAAAATAAATATTAAACACATAGGTAATATTCTATATTTTGGGGAAAGTGCTCTGTACAAGATTTTACTATGGGTGAAGTTAATAACCACGAAGTCCATTGTAAACTTTGTTATTTGAGCTTTGGTTCAGAATTTTCTTGATAACTGTAAAGAATAAGAAAAGAATTATTGACATTGATTAATCAAAATGTATGAAATAATAAACATTTGTTCTTAATTCTTATTTAAATTTGTTAATGTTTGTTATATACCTTCTTTATCCTCTTCTGTCAGCTCCTGTTTAGGAAATTCTACATCAAATGTAATATAAAGGATACCATGCAAATTATTGTTCTCATAATTTGGCATCCCTTCCCCCTTCTTCCTGATACGTGCTCCAGGCCAAGTTATTTTATCCCTTGTAATTGACACCCTATGGTTATCTAGATGAGTTATATCCATTGTAAAGCCTGTCAAAGCATCCTGTTGAAATAATCATAACTTTTAGCCAAGTAGCTTCAGCACTAACAAAATAAAAATGTTTATGTCTTGACAACTTGCTAAACTTGTTTTATTGGGGATCAGCTAAGAAGTGCATAAGGGGCATTGGACAAGGACAACATGCACTTATTTCTAATATACAAAACACAATAGAAAATATTATGAATATTTGTGGAATGTAATGTGTTAATGATCTCCATGCATGGTCATAGGGTGAATGCCCTTCAGATATTTGGAAATACCCTGTAGAATGACACTATATGAGAATGGTGTTGATAATATGTCTCCTATAAACAGAAAAGTTAGTGTGTAGGTACTTATGAGTATTGAAATATGGTTATGGTTTTGGTTTCAGGAGCAGAAATGTTGAAATAATCAGCTGAATATAGATGTTTTAGTTGAAGTTTGGCCATACAATCCAACATTCTTCATACTCACTTGTAAGCTAATGGTAACATTTGTATATAAATCATCTCCTCTCCTCTCAAAGACAGGATGAGGTTGTGTTTTAATCTTCATAACAAGATCACCTGGATCCCCATCTAAATGAGGCTCCCCTTCTGCAGTGAACCTAGTTTCTTGTCCATCCACCATACCAGCCTCTACTTCTAATTCTAATATTCTCTCCTCATTCACCAATTTGACATTTGGACACTCATCACAGACAGTTTGTTGAACCATTTGGAACCTGCCAGGCCCCAAGTTTCTGGTTGTCATTTCTTGTCTACAGTTGCATTTTCTTGTTCCCTTGGCAGCCTTCATTACTGGTTTATTTCTTGTGATCTCAATGAAGTTGCCAGTGTATAGGTCTTCCAGAGTTACAAAAATGTCCATTACTAGGTCAGCCCCTTTGGGAGTCTCATGTTTTTGTTCATTTCCCCCAAAATGGAAACCAAAATCTCCAAAGAAGCTAGCAAATGGGTCCATACCACCATCCATCATCCCATCTCTTTGTAAACAGTCTTCTCCGCATCTATCATACTTTTTACGTTTTTCTTCATCTGATAACACTTCATAAGCTGCCCCTAGGTCTTGGAATTTCTGAGAAGCACTTGGGTCGTCTTGGTTCTTGTCTGGATGTAATTCTTTGGCTAATCTTCTATATGCTTTTTTGATTTCATGTAAGCTAGCAGATTTAGAAACATCTAGTATTCTATAAAAGTCTCTTCCTGCTAATACTAATGTGGCAAGAACTAAATTAAATAAAATTAATGTGGTGAAAAGATTTTGATTCATCATGAGTTTTTTACTGGAACTACAGGATCTATCACAGCTGCATTAATATTTTGCTGAGGTTTGTATGAACTTCTATAAAAACCATTGATTAATCTACTAGTACACCACCATCATTTCTAATCAACATGTAGTGATCACATTCGTCAGTTTTGTCCTGTCAGCAAATGTCAGCTTTGAATTTCAAAACATGTGGAACATTTGGATTGGTACGAAAACATAGAATATTTTTTTTATAATTGACAGATATAACTGTCAACTAGCCTATTTGACAGATACTAATGACATTTTGGGGCAAATCATCTGATTTGTCCCACTACAAATATATTGAAATAATACGAATATTTTTATTTTATAGGAACGAGGAGAGAAAATCACAAAGAATCAAGTAAAATGAATATACCACCTCCTCGATTAACCTACAGACACTATGGTAACTAGTATACTTGACAGCAGTGGCGGCTCCTCAGAGGAGGCAACGGAGGCTGAGCCTCCTCAGAGATTTTCCTCAAACTAATATTATCTATACTTTCTCATTAAATGGACACCAAAATACATGGATTTTGATTTTATCTCCTGTTTTTAGTTAAATATTTTTGAATTGGCAACACACGTTGAAGTCTGCAAATCACGCGTAAAATATTCAACTTTGCAACATCTATAGGAGGCTAGACTCCTTTACAACTCGAAACCTACGCGCGCAATGCAAATGCCCGAATAGCACGTGTTTGTCCGGTTTGTCGTCGCTTCGCGAATTGCGGACAAACGCGAGTGCATTGTTTATGTTTATGATAGGTTAATGGTTAGGGGCTCTATAAATTTCTGAAAAATGAGTGTTTTGAACGATTGCCATTTAGTGGAATACTTTTTGGTGAACCCATTCAGTGCTTTGTCTTATGAAGATAAATTGATTGTGAAAAAGAAAGTCCGACACCAGAATAAAAAAATCTGATTGTAACATGTAACAAACAAAATCGTTCGTTCAATTCTGATAATTATAAAAAATCTGAGGTAAGGAATGAGCTATTTTGTTGGTACTGCGTATTATTTTCAACCAATAAGTCATCATGTTGGGGGCGATTAGGATATAATGATTTGAAAAATTTGCCTTGCTGATTGGATAGACACTGCAAATCACAGGAACACATCTCTTCAAGTATTAAGTTCAGATTAACTGGTAACAGGTTAACAGAATGTCATTAAAGCTATTGATTTGGGTGAGTAGAGAGTTGTTTTTCACAATAAATATCATATCATTCAGCCTCCTCTGTCATGAAAGTCACGAGCCGCCACTGCTTGACAGATACCTAAGTCACAGTTTATGTGTCAACTAGCCTACTTGACAGATACTAAGTGATAACTAGTATACTTAACAGATACTTGAGTGTCAACTAGTATCTGTCAATGTACCTATATTCATCTTTTTTCATCAATTTTCTCGTCGATTTTTTCTAAATTTAATGTCTAGTACATTTCATCTGGTTTTAGTACAATTGATTAGTGATTTCAGTACAATTAGCTTTTTTCTTCTGGCAACACTGCCTCTGAGCCCTGTCAACGTGTCACGTGTCATTAATGTTTGTTTTCAATAAGGAGTTTTCAATCAAAATAATCAAATAAACAAGAAGTAAAAAACTCAAAAGCAAAGCAAGGAAAGTAAACAATATTCAGGATTTCTGAAGGTTATTAATTAATTCAATTATTTATGTTTTTCAATTCTCTGTATTCTGTATATCGATATTATCTCTTTCAGCTTTTTCATAGATCAACTACTCTCGCTTTATCTTCTATTAAGGTGGAGTTTTAGCGGGTGCACAAACAATTTATTCCACAACTGTTTTTAATGTACAGTTCATAAAAGTTAAAATATGTTCCATATGAGATGATTTATGCAACTCATACGCCCTAGTGCACAGTGCTCATCATGCATAACCTTGTAGTTCCCAATATTTAACCTATGCATTAAAGTTACACATTGGGCTTGTGCATTCACAAAATCCGCCTTTACTCATCAATGTCATCATACTCCTCTGTTCATACATCATACAGTGATATCAATCCTGTTTCATCTTTCATCTATCAGATATTGCTGGTACTGCATTTATTATTATGAACAAATTATATCATTTCCAGATTTACTTCAGTTTTTAGCATTCCTACAAAGCAATGGCAAAAAATACATCCAGTTCTGCATTCCGGAAAATAGATATTGACCAATATTCAGAAGATAATTTCAAAGAAGATGAGACTGATTCTGGAGTTGCTGTTGGGCCAGATGAAAATGAAGTCAATTCATTACTTCAAAAATATCCTTTTTTTATGAACATTGTGAGTACTTAGGGAGGATAGGGAATAGAAGCTATTATGTTATATAGGGTTCCAATCCATCTAGATTTTAGGGGTGTCCAGTAATTCAGGAATATAAAAAATGTATCAGCCATAAATAATCTCATGTGTGCCAACAGATGTATAGATTGACAGGGCCACAGTATATTATCCTTCCACAAGAAAGGATAATATACTGTCAGAATAGTCCTATTTCCTTGAAGCCCACTGCCACTCATGAATAATTCACTATTTCTAAATGTGATATTATTAATGTGTATCCAAGTATCCAAAATTTTCAAATAAAAATCAAGGAAATTCAATAAAAGTGGTAGTAGATAATAAGAACATGAAATATTTCAATTTTTCATATATTTATATAAATTATATATAATATATTATATATAATTATGGACATAAAGACATTCATTAATATTATTAAAGAATATGTTTTCACCCAGTATAGTGTTTTGGGTTTCATATCTCTAAGATGGAACCATAGATCTATGATGGAACCCTAAGTTCAATCAAAAGTTGAAAACAAATTCAAAAGAATAATATTAAATGGCTCATGTTTGGTATTATTAACTAGTTTGTTAATGGTTTTCAAAATAATCTGAATTATTTCCTTGACTAAGGATTACAGGAAAGATTGTAGATGCTCTGAAAATGGTACTAAACAATGCACCTTTTGGAATAAAAAACCCTCAAATCAAGGTAAGTGTTATCTAACTACAATATTTCAGTAATTATTATCAACTCAAAACTACTCTTTAGGAAAATGCTTTCAACCTCACTCTCAGAGTTTTGCTGGCTATCAAACCATCCCAAATAGAAGAAATGGTAAATTCACTGGACATGGATATGTTAGATACATTGATGAAATATGTGTACAAGGGGTTTGAATACCCATCAGAAGGTAGCAGCATGCACCTTCTTCTGTGGCATGAAAAGATTTATAACGTAGGTGGAGTTGGTTGTATTGTAAGAGTTTTGTCAGATACTAGAAGAGTCTAAGATGTATTAATACTAAACCAAAAATAGTTTTAATATTTGTTTTGTTCCAATTTTTCCATCCCAAACAAAGGGAGAGAATAATCACTGAATTGTTCACATGGTGTTCATAGAGAGTACCATTACCTATAGTAAAATACATCATGCATTACAATATAACATAACAAAGGTGGGTGAAATAAGAGCTAAATGGGAATTTGTTATGAATGGGAATTTTGCAATTTTTGATCTCAATGAATTATCTTATTACATATACATAATTATCTAAAGGAACCCCTGAAATCTGGATTCTTATTAATTTGATACTCTTGATTCATTTTGCTCAGTTAGTAAATCAGCCTAAATTTCAGGACCTATTTGAAATCCATCAGAACTTTAATTTTTTATTTTCATAATGCACAGGTTAAAAACCATCAACTGTTTATTTTTCTATTTTTGTTAGTTATAAGGAATTAATTCGCGAAAATCACGAACAAAGGTTCACGAACCAATAGATGGCTCTATTTAACGTCAAATCAACGTCAAATTTCAAACTGAGTATGAACAACAAAAATATTGCCGTATGCACTCATTGCAAATTGGTTATTTTGAAATCATTTTGCAAAATATTGAATAATGAGTTGACTTCGTGAAATACGTACAAGGTTTCCAGTATGGAAAAAATTACTTTTTGTACAGAGAAATTGAAGACCTTGGTGCAATAACCGGTCAAGTCCAAATTTTAAAATTAGCGGGAAATCGAGAAAAACCTTCCAAAATTGTGAAGAACAATGATAATAGAACAATATTTGTTTTTCAGATAGAATTTAGCTATATATATGCTTGAATGCGATGAATAATCGAAATGAAAAATACCATCGAGGTGTAGAAATTTTTGAAAATTTGGACATGTCCGTTTTTTGCCCCAAAATATCATGTTCAAAAAATTAAGCACATTGGTTTATGTCATTTTTATTATATCAACGAGAATATATGCAACTACATGAAGGAAGAGTCAGATTCGTATGATGCGTCTCCATCTATTTCTTCTTCATTTTGTTCTTCTTGTTCCTCAGGTTCTCCAAAAATCATTCTGTAATACCACTGGTCTGCTGCAGGTACATATTTCTGTACCAGTGTTTTCACATCTTTAATCTTTTTCTCGTTTATTGGAAGAGGGTATACCTGGAGCATTCTTTCAGTTGGCAGTGATATAACGCTACCTGGCTTAACAGCGGAAAACTCGTTAAAACATGGAAATGCCGTTGCCACACAACATTCAATGTAGTTTGAGTCCTTTTCATACTTGAACAGTCTATATGTTGAGATGGAGAACCTAATTTTGGTCTTGGAAGTGAATGTGTTCCTGAACATAGGTTTGAAATGTTCGGTGAAGTTCATTATCATGTCTTGGTTTACATCAACAACTCGAAAATTTTTAGAAGTTTTCTTCACCAATGATTTCCATTCTTCTGGTAGATGCACACGTTCCTTCCTCCTCTTTTCTTTCTCGATCAGCCCGAAAGATCGGTCACAGGGCAAAAAGCTATGACCAGGCTCAGGATACTGATGTATCACCGTTTTAATACTCTTCGTATTCTGAACCATCGTATATAAATACTTAACGAAGGTGTGATTTTTGTTTTGCGCAAACGCGTTGTCCGAAAAAAGATATAATGTTGTAACTGTGTTTGGTAAGAATGTCTTCAGATAATGTTGTAAAAAACTGATGACTTCATTGCTGCCTTTTCTGGAAGTAGCCTCATCGTACATATAAAATGTAGATAATCCACTTTTTCCAGATGTTATACAAAAGTTATATTGCCATATTTGACGTTTGTAAAAAACATCCCCTGCAGGAACATGTGGCAGCGGTAGATTTTGTTGAAAATCAAAGCATAATACTTCTATTGATTCATCCATTTTAGAAAGTTGTGTTTTTCCTTTCAATGCATCATAAAATGCTTGCGATTTTTTTAGATGCAGTCGTTTTTCTGTCTGCAACGATATTTTCGCATCTGGATTTTGTTCAGCCATTATGGAATTTTCTAGTCTATCACATGTTTGACAGGTGTCTGATCTTGGTGAACCAAAGCTCATATTATAGTTAGAACGAAAATGCCGATAGTAGAAGTCGTATGAAACTTTTGGTTTACATTTCTCGTCCTGTTTCAATTTCCTGAAGATTTCTGGTTCATATTGTTCTAAATACATGCTATGCATTTTGGAGACATTGAGCTCAGGGGATAAATATGTCCGTCCTTCATTTTTTTCTCTACTATAATGAGATGATCGCCGAGGAAAACTCTTGATGTGACTATCAATAGTGTCTATGATATTCTTTGGAATTTGGTTCGGACGATTATTGTGTTTACCTCTCATATCACTTGGCGCTGAGATCTTGAGTTTCAACGTGGATGCTATACGATTCGTTCTATGCTTAGTTATACCATGAAAAGCACAAAAGGCTTGTCTGCAAACCATATGCTCGTTCCCGTTAACACGTATCTAAAAAAAATCATCGAATCTATTTGTATGCAAATGGATAGAGATAAAACTTACTTTATAATAGAAAGAAACCTTTTTCTCTTTACCGGTCCCACTTCTTGGTCTTTTTCTGGCTACATCTTCTACACGAATCAATCCGCCTAAGTAGATGTCTTGCTTCTCCTTGTTAGCCAAACTATTGAACTCTTGCAATATTTGATTTCTTTCTCCCATTTGAACCATTGAAAAACATTTGCGAGCACATGCACAGTCCTTTCCAGTCTGCCTAATAGGTTTACTTTCACCAGACTTCGCTGTGATGTATTCTTTTCCCTTGGCCATTTTCATCTTCCGAACATTTCTTGTCCAGTTCTCCTGATTTCTGTGTCTCTTTCTACCTTTCTTTTGCCGGGTAGAATCGATTTCATTTCGTTCTTCATCTACCCTGTTTTCATTCGATCCTTCTTGATTATTGATAACTATTCTGCGGAATAACCGACTGGTAGACGGCTGGTTTTCATCACTAGGAAGATATTCACTCCCCGAAGACTGAAATGGTTCCTCTTCACTAGAAGACATCGTTGCTTTCTGTTTTATACGAGCGATACGTATTCAAGCAATAACAGGAACATACTGACCTGCGACTAAACAGATCTACACATGTATCAACAGGAAACAAGTATCCCCACTCAGACATGTCCTCCCGCCAATTCAATGAGTTCGTGCAGAAAACGGACAAGTCCAGGACTTGTCTGATTTTTGCTCCCAAACATGAACTCGGTCAAGTCCGGGAAGCTTATAACTCAGTTATTAGGCGGCGGACTTGACTGATTCTTGGTCCCATCGATCGAGAAATTTTTCGAACGTATGATCACCTTGAAATCTCATTTTGGCACAAATATGGACTTGACCGGTTTTTGCACCAAAGTCTTCAATTGCTATTTGGATGTGGATAATGGTGGTATTCATCATTGATATCACACTACAATTCCACAGTTTTCAAACATATGGAATGGTCGGAATGGTCCACTCAACACTTGCATGGACTGGAAGCAATCAGCTATTACAAATAGGTATGAAGAAATAATTGAATTCATCAAGAAATATCACTGGCTTTTATGAAGGAGATGGAATTCTAGTAAAGGGGCTGGGAAAAGAAGATATGATTGGAAAGGCTGCTCAAAATGAACAATATCATCGATTTACATAGACAAGGATCTCCAGCAATTGAAGACTTGGAGTTATTCTCAAGATTAAATCATTGCAACCAACATTTATACAAGGATTCTAACTGTGCTTCAGAAAATGTATATTATATTATTATAAGGTAGGTACTGGCTTCTTCATTGTAAACAATAAAAGTTCATGCAATAATTCGAGTTTTTTCATCAGGGAAAAATGAGGTTCTGGAATATGCACTTCAACAAATAAATTATTTTCAAATAAAACACAGAAACTCAAAACAATGGTCGCCATATTTGTTGTTCATACTCGCAAGGCTAGTAAAGTTAGCCACCAGAGGCCGCACACTTCGTGATTTTCGCGAATATGCCTACTTACTTATAGGGTTATTCCCGATCCCTCGTTAATCCCTTCATATACTCACGAAAATTACATTTCTTATGCAATCTAGACTGGCAAATTGATTGAATCAGTGGTGGGATACTTTTTCCACGAGGGGCCAGAAAAATTAGATGAATTTTGCGTGGGGCCGGCTGGAGTGAATAACAAATGAAAAGGAGCTCAATTTCGTAGACACCCGGCGTTTACGATGCAGAGGTGCTGTTGGTTGTAATCCCTTCAGCAACTCGGTGTCCTAGGAGTGGTTCAAAACCCAATAAAAACTGTATGTCCCGCTCTTCCTAACCCCGTTTCGACTTTTGGGGAGTTGGTTCCCAACTCCGAAGTAGCGATACTCATACAAATTTTACAAATATAAAAATTAAGTATATTACGAAAGTTACGGATATGTAATATAATATGTATGAAAGCAGCTATCTTATCTACCTAATTGAAATCCTCGTATGCGGGTTCGAGTTGAGACGATGATATATAATAGTTTCAACAATGACAATACGTGTTCCGTCAGTGTTAGTCTACTTCAAACGCTATTTTGTCGCATATTCATGGTTCAAAAAGTTTGTTCGCAAATGTACGACGACGCAAACATTGCCATGAGGTTCCATCGCTGCGATATTCATAAGCAAACACATCTGGGACATGACATCTGTTCTGAGATGTTGCGATGAGGTAACACTGCAATATCACGAATGTTCCATCGCTGCGATGTACAGAACCAAACACATCTCAGACATGACATTTCTGAGGTGTAGCGATGAAGCAACACTGCGATATCACGAATGTTCGATCTCTACGATGTACAGAAGCAAACACATCTGCGACATGACATCTCTGAGATGTCGCGATGAGGCAATAACACTGCGATATAACAAATATTCCATCGCTGCGATGTACAGAACCAAACACATCTGCGACATGACATCTCTGAGATGTAGCGATGAGGCAACACTGCGATATCACGGATGTTCAATCGCTACGATGTACAGAAGCAAACACATCTGCGATACATCACATCTCTGAGATGCAAGAAGTTTTCAAAAATGTATTTAGATTTTTGTTCGGTGAAAAATATTACATGAATATACGTAGAATGCGATATCGCAGGTAACAATTGTGACATCGCTGCGATATCTCTGTGATGTAACTGTGTTTGCTGGGGAATAACCTTTATGTGTCAAGATCTGTATATACAAAATTGTTTTGCTATACCTTCATAAACTATTATAAAATATTTTCAAGACTTCTGAATCTGGAAGGAGTGCTGGAAGATGAAACAACATTTAGATATAAATGAATATATTTGATGCTTAGTAATAAAAGATAACAAATAATTGATCCACGATTATTATGACAAAGTCAAATTATTGGATATTAAAGAGAGTATTGAAAAATAAATATACCTATATCATCAAGGCACACAATTATCACAATTATTATTATTCAAAAAACAAGACACTAAGTGTGCCCATTAATTAGTCTCCTCATCAACTTTCAAACGGCTCACATAATTATAACAATCATATAAATGAATTTAGTTTTCGTTATCCAAATTGCTACAAAAATCTAGATACCAATAAATCATTGTTTCAATTCTTGATATTCTAAGTTTTCAACCTTTAATATAACATGATTCGACACTAGATTTGCAAATTTCACAAAAAGCTGACCACCCCATACTAAATTTGATTTTGATGATTATAATATTCACTGATACTAAATACAACATATCAGAATTAGAACAACGAAGTATGACATGTCATTGTGTGCTAAACTTACAAATTTTTTGTCTGAGAGCGAGAAAGCTGGATTATGATTAACCTGTTCCTATAATAATAGTCTTAATACCTCAATCAGTTCAATTTTTGTCCAACATTTTAACCTCTAATATTGCAGGGCCTGACCAGCCAATGCGTATTTGTTCCAAAACACGCAACCTTTCATAATTTGGCCTTTTGTGATTTCGCTAAAATATCGTGCATATCTCCAAGACTCTCTTCAAGGGCCAATCGAAATTTCGTCGCAGAAGTATCAGCATGCGCTACGAAAGCTGAAACCCCAAAATTTATATCGAACGGCCGAGGGTTGTAACAACACCCATAACCATCCGCCGTAAGCGGAGCGTAACACATGAACCCATCGCATCTAGTCGCTACTTGACTCGTCGATATACGCATGTGACTGCTGCGTTTGAAGGATGGATCTGTGAAAATGCGAGGTAGCTCTATACCGTTTTCCTGAGCTATCAGTTTGAGCCCCAACAAGTGACGGTCTACGCCGAAACCATTGACTGCCTGAAAATGGATTGCATATAGTCCAGCCACAGAAACGACTCTGAGCATTGGGAATAAAAGTACATAGGTGACCCAATTCCTTGAGTCACTCGCCGGATTATATTGGTGTCTCTTTAGTCCTGAGGTCTATATCTATACTAATTTCCAAGATTGTTAGGAAAACAATCAATCATCGTTTCACTGTTAACTTTTGGATGATTGGCAAATGAAATTTGTACAAAATCACATAATTTAATAACGTGAAGATTATCCTTGAATTTTAGTATCCGCAGAATCCGCCATTTTTTGGTGATGTTAGGATGGATGGGTTATTTTTCTGGTTAGTTCTACTTTTTATTGTATTATTTATTATAGTATTTTAACTCATATATTTTGTGCACCTCAGGATTGTTGACAAATATCACTATTGGTGTTCATCAGTGGATCACGTCATCATTTTTGAAAAGTGTCGATTTGTATTATTGAAAAACGAATTCGTGATAATTTCAAATAAAGACTGGTTGCATCAAATACTATGTATACATGGAGAGATTAAAATTAAACAGGTACGTGGCAAAAACTCGACTAATGTGTACTACCCCAAATCAGATGATGTTCAATAATCTATAGTTACACCAGGTTAGGTTAGGTTAATGAAAGTACGTTGCAAGTTGACTAAGCTGATCAATTTTCAAATGCGGAGCGCAGATACAGTTAGATATAGAACTGAAAACGAGGTGGAATATAACGAAAATGAATCTTTTATACCTCAACTATTGATGATCCCCCGTATAGAGGTGCGGGATTATAGGGAACGCAGATATAGTCAGATATAGAAGTGAAAACGCAGTGAAATATAACGAGAATAAATACTCTTATATACCTTAACTATTGATGATCCCCCGTATAGAGGTGCGGGATTAGAAGAGCAAACGCGGGCGAAGAACTATAAAGGTGAATGAAAAAAAAACATCACGATAGCGCTATGCACGAGGGACCATCTTCTTTGGCTACACTTTACACTTAACAGCATGAAAGAAGAAGCGCGCTGTATTCGTACTGTAGTTTGTTGAAAAGAGAAAGAACGTTAACGTGTATCGCGTATAAATTTATGCGCACCAACAATCCTTATCAGTAACTGGCAATGATGAAAGATTGTTTAATTGAATCTCGATAAACAGATTATCACTGCTGGATCAAAAGGCGGCATTGATATTCAACCCAAAATAAGCAAATCCGGCTCGAAGGACCATTCATGTACGAGAATTGAAGAAATTATGGAATCTTTGGAAATAAACTCAGGAGAGATTAAATGGATTGTCACTTGAAGTGGAATTTGAACATAACGAATTATACGAGCCTTTAAAATCCTACCTTGATCTGTCTGTTCGTCTGGACTTTCTTATGTTTCCTGCTGGCCAGCCATCTAGATGCACGTTCTGGATTTTCTAGGATTGTCGATTGCACTTTTGATGAAAATTGTATAAAACCACGAACAAGGCACACACACGTGAACGTATTGCTGTCAAGTCTGAGTCTCCACATTTCACCACGGAGGTCGCGCTAATTGGATTTTAAAGGCGTTTCTTCGAGGCAAAATGTTATACCGGGGAAGGTCCGAAATTAACTTATTTTGGGTTGATTAACAAACATCATAGAAATTATATTCAATAGTGGAATTCTTATTACTAACAAATATACACGTGACACAAGACTATGAGGAAATTTAAGCGAAGACAAAACACCTATACACTTCAAATTTTGTTTTTCAACTCTTTGACTCCCACAGTATATTTACCTCCATAGCATATTTCTTGTGAGATTCAATTGCTTCTTTCAGTGCAACTACTTTATCGGCAATGGTTTTCTTTGAATCCAACATGGCTTTAGCGAATGCGATCGACTCTATGGAACAAGAGCGAATCGTTTCTGTTCTTCCATGTATGTATTTTCTGGTAGCAGCCGATTCATAATGAGCCCCAGGAGTCATATGAATTCTGGAATCCAACAACACTCAAACCATGGAAAGACAATATTTTCAATCTACAAACGATTCACATACCTGTAAAAGGCATATTGCATAGCAATTTGTATGAAACTGTCTGGACTGAGTTTCTGAGTTTTCACAAATTCTTTTCCAAAGGAAGTAAATTGAAAACAATCCATATCCAAATTCTTCACTAATCTTGAAAAACAAAACAAATAATGTTAGCTTACCAACCAGGTTCTTGAGGCATTCATACCTATCAATATTTTCATTTGCTTCAATTATGTAGGACTTTAAAGTATCACTGACTTTAAATTCTAATTTCTCCAATGTACCATCAAATTTTGTATCGGACATATTATTATTGGTATCAATATGTTTACTGGAAAATGAGAAAAAGTGAGAAAAATATTCTCTGTGATTTTTCCTGACTTACATGTAATTTATCAAATAATCAGTCATACTTGCGATAGGTTGACCTTCGCTAGGCGAATGCTCATAGGTTAAACCTACTATACCATCTTGACCAATGACGAACTGAAAGATTTGTAAGAAATATACACTCACCGGCAAAAAAACCAGCCAGCAAAAAATTTTGCCAAATTTAACTCTTGTCCGATTCTGATGAAATTTCGACCAAATCGTAAATTTATGTTTCAGAGTGATAGTTTGAACGTTAATTCTTGAAAAAAGCTGATGACTTGATCAGTATACAGGGAAAAACAAAAGTCACTCTTTCACCCATAACTTTTCTTAACGGTCTCTGGCAAAGGTGGGTGGTTGAACTTAGCTTCATCTATTTTGGCTTGAAATGTGATACTCTCTTAACACAATGGTTTTTGATGCCGGCAATATCTTCTCTTTCGAAAAAGATACAAGTGTTTTAAGAAAATATGCAATTCCATCCAATCTCCTACCTTCTGCTTCATCATGTTTCATTTGCCTTCGTCAGGCCTTATCAGAGACAATTTAAGAGCTACGAAATTGTATCAACTCGATGCCACGGCGGTTGAATACTGTAATTCCAGTTCGAAGAGGGCTCGATACTCATTCTTGACTACATCTAGGAAGTCTGCTTTTTCGTTTGTTTTCAGTAATTAAGATTTCTCTTTGCTCGTGAGTGCTGGATAAACAGGGAGGAAATAATTGATATCAATATTTTTGAGCTGTTTATCGATAAGCTCATGTAGGTTTCTGCAAATTTAAAAAATCCATACTTTCTTAAAACACTCGTATCTTCGTTTAAATAGAAGATATTGACGTGAATCAAAAACCATTGTATTAAGAAGGGACCACACTTCAATACATAACAAAATGAAACTAGATTTAACCACTAACTATTGCCACAGGGCGTTAAGAAATCAAGTGTGAAATGGTAACTTTTGGTTTTTCCTGTATAATCATATAATCAAGACATTAGCTTTTTTTGGGAACTAGTTTTGTTGGAATTTCACCAAAATCAGACAAGAATTAAAAAAGTTACAGGGCACCAAATTGGTTAATTTTTTTGGTGGCGTCCCTACATCGTTATCATGACATCTTTTATCAACTATCTTGTGATAAATGTAGATGATTTCCACAAAATATCCAAGTTAAACATTTTCTCTGACATATTAACTTCCCGTTACTTATGTATTACCTATACGAACAGAATTACCTAGGAACAGGCTAGCTAATCCTTTATTTCGGAAAGTTTGCACAATATCTACATTAAAATTCGGAATAACTTGAGAGGAGTGATTCACTAGTGCTTGCAAAATAAATATTATCTACCTACTGAGAAAACAACTTCAAAAGCAGTAAATTGTTGAGAAATGTGTGTTTCGGGATTGAATTCAGTCACCTGACTGGTGGAGCTGAAGGCAATGGTGGCTCATAACATCAACAGACATTATATGAAAATCACACTCACCTGCACAGTTTTATCAAACCAACGATTCGCAGAATTAGCCATGCTTCCGCCTCCATGAATACATTGTTTACTAGCCAAAGATCTGCGGGAATCATTCGAATCTGGCATGGGATTATCTAAAGCTACCAAAAATAAGGATTTCTGAATTTTGGCAACCGAATCCCTATTTAGTGGGTCTAAAAAATAATGTGATTTTTGTAATAATTCATTCCAAATCTAACAAATTATATCTACGTTATGTACAGTGAGTGTTGATCACACATAATAAATGAACGAAATTACATTATGTGATCAGGTAATAAGTGAAGATACATAAAGTGCAAAATTTTTGTTGATTGTTGTATTATATGCAACAGATGGATACACTGCTTCCAAAAAGAACTAATACTTATTACGTTGGGTTGGTCTACAGTTTTCGCCTTTGAAACCTCAAATTTGAGCTTATAATGAAAAAAAAAAAATAGGTAATTGCATCCAGCTTATGCTAATGAATTTTATTTTTTCTTATTGGTATTTAGTTCTCTCTTACCTTTAATTAATTCATCATAGGCTCTAGACCAGTTATTCCTATTTTCTGTAGTCAAAATGCCGACAGGATCTCCTAAATTAGTTGATTCGTTCAAAACGGAATGTAGCATACCTAGTATGTCTTTAAAACTACACCTTTTCATATTTTCCTTAATAACTTCAATGCTGAAAAACTTCATTACTAATCTTAGTTGCTACCTAAACTATAAATGTATATTTAAGTAATAGTCCACTGCACTTGACTGCACTCACATTGTTGTTCCTAACTACTATTATGTGTCTTGATTCTGAGTTGAATTCTATTTCATCCACATTTTTCTTTGGTACTCTACATGTGCCAAAGATCTTCTTGTATTGATTCATGTCCAATGGATCTTTGCCCATTTTGTCTAGTGGGAGCTGATCACTAAAACCGCATCAGATCTGTTATATATTGTTATACGACGCTATACCTATAGTGGAGTATACTATACGGCCTTGCCAAAAATGCTATCTCGGAAACTAAGCGAGATAGAGGTATAGTTACTTTGGAGAAAATGATCCTCATCGAATTTTGAGCAACTCTGGTTTTTGTGTGTGGTCTGTCTGTCTGTCTGTCTGTACTCTGTGTTAATCATAAATCGATATATCTCCGGAACCCTTTGACATATCGACTTGAAATTTTGCCATCTTATTGTACTCAAAACAATATTATGTCTTTAAAATAGGAAGGAAATCGGAAAACTCTAAGGTGGTTTTTCCGGGTTTTTTCGATTTTTCACCGGAAGTTTCTTGTAACCACTCTACAAATCGCAAAAGTGGTCCGATCGATTTCATTTTTCGTGAAAAAAAAACTCTATCAGGGAGAGACGAAGCCTATTGAAATTGAGCAGGGTCGGAAAATTCCAAGTGGGTTTTTCAAGGAGATTTTCCGAAACTCACGGTTCGCTTTAAAACGACATATCTCTTGAACCAATAGAATAAATCCAAATTTGAAAAATGCACCGTATGCCTCTTTGATGACGCAACAAATTATTTTTTCGTGCATCCATCGGAAAATGGAAAAACAAATGAAAATCAAAACATCAAAATTTGAAATCCATTCAATTCAATATATATCGAAAACAAATGGAAAAATCGAAAATTATCAAAAGTGCAAAGTTATCCACTGGAACATTTCCTACAAATTATTTTCCATAATTTTTTCTGTAAACCCAATAGTACAGGAAATGAAGTGAAAAATATGAAAAAAAAATGTTTAACGACCTATAGGGTACTTTGAGATATATTGAAAAATAAAGATTATCGATAGATGAAGCTCATCGACTTCCACTGAACCATGAAATATTTTTTCATTTTGTTGATTGGAAGATGGAACAAAAGTGTTGAAAATTTTATTCTCAGATAATTCCAAATATCTCGAAAACAACTGAAAATATCTGAAAATGTTATAGAACCAAAATTATTTCTTTTGATAGAATGTACAAAAAATCCGTATCACATTTTCTCTGAATTCAATAGTTCGGGAGATACGATGAAAAAACTAAAAATATTCACAAGTTCCTAGATGATCACTTGCCAATAGAAAACAAAACAAAAAACAAAAGAATGTGGAAAAAGCACACTCGACTGTCTTGATTGTTTTCTCATAAACTACGTACCTAGCTCACTCGACTGTCTGGAAAAACCAAGACAGTCGAGTGGGCTAAGTACGTAGTTTGTGGGAAAAATCTCCAGTTCTCTAAACTTTCATAGCGTCGTATACACATCTTTGGTGCCCAATGATAGTTTCAATATAAAAATATGCTCATGATATGGTGCCATGGCCTCTACTTCCATCTTACATAAGCAATGATAAAATATCATCTGCTTTTATGGCGTCGTATAAATTATCTGACCTCTATACTAATCTAATACCTATAATGAAAACTACATCTATACTAATCTGATACCTTTCAAAAACTCGTACCCCACTTGTTATATTCAATTAGTGTTACTATAAATAATTGAAAGTTTCAAGTTTTACAAGTAACTCTTCTTAAACAGGTAGGTATAGTGAAAGTATGTATTCTAGCTAGGTAAGTAGGTTCTCACTTCTCAAACAATATTGAACAACATATTTGAAAATAGGTTAATAAGTCTAAAATTTGCCTTGAAATCTCAATATACAGGGTGTCTCTGAAAGGTCTGTACAAAATCTTAGCACATAGTCCTGAGTTCAAAATAAGCCGATTTAAAGCAACTTACCTCAGTCCGAAATTGCTCTGTTTCCGAGATACAGGGTGGTAAATTTAAAAAATGAAAATCGGCAAGCACACCCCAAAACAGTATTTTGAAAAATCCTTTCTTGCACTGCTCATTCACTGACCAAATGACATCCACGAAGATAACAGCAAACATTGTGTATTCAAAATAATTTGAATATTCCGTTGTGGCATCGAACACTAAAAACCGAAATATCTCGAAAACGGTTCAATTTAGTGAATTTTCACACGAGCACCTTTATTGCTTGAAAATATCCTGAAAAACATTTCCTCAACAGAAATAAAGTAGAAAACTACACTGAGAAAAAAGTTATGGCCATTCCAATTTCCAAACCATAAGAAGTGCATTTGTAAGCGCCCTCTACTGGTCACCGTGAAAGGGTTTCGTATTCCAAAATGTCCTTAGCTACCAATTTTTGAAGTGCTACTTTTAAAAATGTTGATACAGTTCGAAAAATTCGTTTTTCATTTTTTAACCTTACCACCCTTTATCTCGGAAATGGGAGAAATTTCGGACTGAGGTAAGTTACTTTAAATCCGCTCATTTTGACCTCAGGACTATGTGGTGAGATTTTGAACAGACCTTTCACGAACACCCTGTATATCAAATTGGTAAAATATTTTTTATCAAAAATGGCTCTGATCAGTTCGCCTGAAGCCACAGCCATAGGTTTGAGAGCAGTCCAATCACCTCACCATAATATTCCGTTGTGAAATGGTTGTTTATAAACTATATATATATATCCAGAGGCTTCAGCCGAGGGGAATAAAATCCCGTGGTAATAATATTCCTTGTTACCAAGATGTATATTATAGTTATTTACCTAACAAGTGCGGAAAGTAGTACTTTTCCGAACGCGACGGACGACGCGAAGCCGAGTTCGGGCAAGTCGTCAAGGGCGGAAATAGTTATTTGTTCAACTAGGCAGCTACGCACGGCTATGAATTCAGCCTCGGCAGTCAATCTACTTTGCTGCCGAGTTGAACATATAATTTTTTCTCCGATTGTTCATAATGATATAGGAGGATATTGTATATTATGCAAATTATTACAATTCCCACAATCTCTTTATTTTTCCTGTAGTGTTCAATTAAAATAAAATTTGATAGAAATCGCAGTTGTTGAAATGGTTAGTTGCTATGGACATGTCCATAATAATTATAGTTTGACAGTTCATGAAATTTCTGACCGTTGTGTGAAAAAATATCGGTATCTATAAATTATTATATAATGGACAGTGATAGCGATCTGGAAGTACTTACTCCTCCAGAAATAAGGGAGGTGGCAAAAAATATAGAGTTGAATTTGTTGCCGGAGAAGTCTCGGATGAAATATGAAAGAAATTATAAATGATTTATGGATTATCAATTTTGCTGACACATATCAATCAGCAAAGTAACCACTTTGCTGCCTAGGCAGGAAAAGTAATACTTTGCTAATTGATATGTGTCAGCAAAATCAATATTTGCTGCCAATCGGAGAAAAAGACATTTTCCGCAAGAGTTAGGTACACAGTTTTTCCTACGAGTGTTTTTGTCCATATTATATCTATGAAAAAAAAGGTTTTTAATGAACAATATTTTTATAATGATGCAACAAATAAATGACACAAAAGACAGAATAGTTACATGGATCATATACACCCTGTGTGAAACTGAAATAAATGGAACTATTGTCACTATGAGAGCACTTATTTTCAATTCAGATTAAAATCTAGTAGACATGACCATATGACAGGATATGACAAGTTATTATCCAGTGACATTCCTGCGAATCTCGCATAAGAACAGTGACTAGTGGTTTATAAAATGACGAAAACTATCTTGGTAGTAAATAATGGTAGGTTGTAGAGTTAGTGGTGGAAAGAGAAGTAAGAACGGAATGATAGTAATTTATCACGAGAATGAAGTTAATTAAACAAGTGGAAAATTAGCATTCCGTGCGAGTTATACACTATACATTTTCAACTGCTATAACAGATAATAGCGAAATTTTTTATTTCTTCGGCTTGTAGCCATCTGAATGCTCTTAGACAGTGCTGTCATTGCTTGAAATTTGACATTTCTTGCGTTATCAGTATCAGATAAGGCCGATAAGGGAATGAAATTGAAGCCATACAATGTACCTCATTGATTTATCAAAATCAGTAAAACAAGCGTAATTTTGTTTTATAGCCTATATGTATAGAAAAATATACTTTTTCTGATAATTATGACATGTAATTTGACCGAGAATTTGACACTTTTCAAAACTGACGACCTCTAAATCTGGCTCTGGGAAGGACTATACTAAGGGCATAAAAGTAGACGATTATGGATCGCAGCATGATGAAAGACTGAGCTAAGCAAGGTATATTAACCCACCTAGGTCCATAAACGCTAGTTACGCCCGATATACATGCAACATTTTATGTACAATTGTTTTAGACAATTATTTACTGTGAATATATATTATTTATAATTGATTTACTGTGATTTTGAAATCATTCAGTGTAACTATGGGCATATGGCACCAGACCGAGAGCGGCTGATGGGGTCTGGTGAGCCGAAAAAGTTGGCAATGAGGGCAAACATTATTTCATTACTTATGTTCTACCAATATGTACTACTGACAAGGGACGTGTTGACGTGAGGTCAGAAGTTGGTAGAACTGATGGACATACTTCTTCTTCTTCTCCGTCAATGTAAGAATTGGCGGTAAAGTTCTAGTTGCATATTGAGAGTAAAAAACCGTAAGTCTGCTCAAGTCTGTAGATAACTAGAGGTTTTCTATTTGTCCAAATAATCTACTTTAGGGCTATCAGGCAAAATTTTATGATTTTTGACATTGACATTGACCTCACCCTTTATGTGTTTGAGTAGCGCCAACTGGTGAGTGAATGTCAAAGCAGCATGTTTACTCTGTTTTCATTGGTTCACATTTGTTTTTTGTTTGTTCTTATTGGTCATATCATATCATCAAAACAAACCACTCAGAAGTGTTCAAGTTGCTTCTGTATGTGTTATTTTCTATTGTGAATATTATACATACCTTATAAGATATATTATCCCACTTGTTTATTTGGAGCACTCCTTGCACATGCCAGGCTTATTACTAATTTAAACAATATGTGACATAATACCTAGTATCTTATAAAACTTGTAGAATGATGCTCAAAAAAATCAAGTGCAAGAATTTCTGTTTCACCAACTTGATAACTATAAACTACTATAGTTGATCAATAGGAACTGAACATTATTTCTTTCAATTTTGAATGTTAAAGTTTACTTACTTATCAATTGTAAACTTATAGTCTAGAGCAGCCATTATCAACTTAGCAGTATATACTACCCTCTCATCTTCAATACTGAAATCTTCAAGTGGGAAAACAAGTCCAGGGCTTGAGAAAATTACAACAGGTTCCCGATATTCCAGGTAGGCTGTCTTCAACCACCATTCAGCTAACCAATTCTCAGAGGAATTTGCTTTTTGGATGAGTAGGTCTTGTAAATTATTACCAATTCCATTGGGAGAGCTAAATTCTTTAAGTATTGTTTTGGTGTTGATAAGTTCACTTTCATTCAAGAATGGAGTCACTGATTTCAAGTATTTTTCAATTGTTTGATTAAGTGTAGGCACAGGAAGTGATGGTAAATTAAGAGTATTGCCAAACATTCTTATTTTTGCTGAGTCAAAAATCCTCTTATTTGATTTGATATTCCTCATCTTGAAGATGGTTTGTAAAATTCTTTGATTAGTAATCTAAAAAACAAACTCTGAAATCTTAAATGTAGGTATAAATTTTGAGTAGGATAGGATTTACCTATTTCATTCAAATGATGAGACTACTTACCATTCTCTGGTTTTTTGAAATCATATATTCATCAAACCATCACAGGTTTCATGGGTAATGGGCAATTAACCAAAACAAGGCATAAATAATAAATATAAATAAACAAAAATCTGACAGTGTTGCCAGTTGCCACTGTTGCCGTTATTGGCTTTTGGTTGTCGACTTGTCAACCGTCTTGACCCAAGGTTAGTAGAATTGTGGTAGAATGGACCGACTGCAAGACCGACTGGTCGTTAGTGTCACGTGACTAAACACAATGACAAATACGAATGGTTACGAAAACCTTTTGAACCGTAAATTTCATAGTATTATTCCTCGAGACAGATTTTGTTGAATGAAATAATTATTTTAGATAAATATATCACTCCAGTAGATCATAAAGTGACGTAATGCTATTTTTATTGACATACAAGCAGTTCGCATCACTCAATTTTGAAGACGAACGCGTAGCAGCGCCATATATATATTTTTTATAATTGACAGATACTAATTGGCAACTAGCCTAATTGACAGATACTAAGTGTCAACAAGCCTAATTGACAGATACTGTGTCAACTTGCCTAATTGACAAATACTAAGTGTCTATTAGACGGATACTATGTGTCGCCTAGCCTACTTGATAACTAGTTTAATCGACAGATAGCTAGTTGACACTTAGTGTCTGTCAATTAGGTTAGTTGACACTGAGTATCTGTCAATGTTTTGTTTGACATTTACTATCTATCAATCAGGCTATTTGACACTTAGTATCTGTCAAGTAGGCTAGTTGACTCTTAGTATTTGTCAATTAGGCAAGTTGACACTCAGTATCTGTGATGTAGGTTAGTTGACACTAAGTATCTGTTAAGTCCGTATGACACGGACCAGTTTTCCATCCATTTTCTGAATGAGAATTTGTATTCAGAATTTACTGCAACATGTATTACAGAAACAGAGAGTCTGAATGCAAAATTGGATGAAAAATAGAACATGTCCTATTTTTCATTCATTTTATGTTGAAGCGCATGCGCATAGCGCCGTTATTTAACCTTCGAATTGTTTGTTTTGAAGTGAGAAACAATTTTCTAGGCTAGTTGACACTTATAGTATCTGTCAATTATTAAGAAAAATATCATATGGCGCTTCTAGGCCTCCGTACAATCGGGTAATTCCTGTATTTTATATGGCAGGTTGAATTTTTTATCAAGATTCAAAAATTACTTTGAAATGTCATTATCAAAATCATGATACAGCGACAGGCTCCTGCTGCGATGTGTCTACTGTCTAATCTTGTGACTGTGACCCAAGGAGAGTTTTATAATCCTTGACTGTGACCCAAATATCGTTAAGTAGACTTTGCATGTCAAATGTATTTGGTATCTGGCAACCCTGGAGTGTGAATTTAACAGCTTGTCAATTGTCAGCTTTGACAAATGTCACTGTCGTTTTAAAGTGCTTTAGAAATAGAATAAACAGAGATAGATTGAATAAATATTTCTTTTTTAGGGTTTTCATAGGCAACCGACATGGTAAGATTTGGAAATATTAGAATATCTAGTTATATGGCAGTAATCCGAAATTAATACTAAAAACTCAAATTCAATAATTACTTCTTAACTCACTTTACATATATATTTTTCTATTCGGCTCATTTTGAATGATAATAAATTGAGTTGTATTTAATAATATTTTACAGGTTATGTATTTATTTTTCAGGGTAAGGTAAAGTGTTCCGATTTAAGAACCAAAGACAAGAAGGAGCTCACCAAGCAGCTCGATGAGCTCAAAACGGAGTTAACCAGTTTGAGGGTAGCCAAAGTTACCGGAGGCGCACCTTCAAAACTTTCCAAAATGTAAGACTTCCATATCACTGCTCTGGTGAAATTGTATTTCAATGTTATTGTTTCAGCCGTGTTGTGCGTAAAGCTATCGCACGTGTGTACATTGTTATGCACCAAAAGCAAAAGGAAAATTTAAGGAAATTGTACAAAAATAAGAAGTACAAGCCTTTGGACTTGAGACCCAAGAAGACCCGTGCCATTCGCCGTGCTCTTTCCTCACATGAAAAACGTATCAAGACTGTTAAGGAAATTCGTCAACGATCTGCTTTCCCACCTAGGAAGTTTGCTTTGAGAGCCTAGTTGTCTTTGTAACAATAAATATTTATAAGTGGATATCCACCAAGATTGTTTTGTTACTAATAAGTGCTTGGAAAAGAACTCACCCAATTCTGTGGGGCACAAAAAATTTCAACAATTTTCCAATGAATATGTTTACAAATGGTGCTATTTAGTTAGAAAGGAACATCATTTATGATATTCAGTTTAAAATCTGATAAACCCATTTTGTTATATGTTGTTGCTTGAACAGCACTGGTATAGTGTATTTATTGGAATATGTTGGGAAAAGCCCTCTCAATAATTAGCTTCCAAGTTAAGCAGATTCTATTGCACATAAAAATGAAAGTTTCAGGACAATACTTCAAAAAGGAATATATTAAGAGCAATACATTAGTATTGCAAATATAAATTAATTTGATTAGTACTCCTATGGATGGCTAATCTTATTTGAACTGACCAGCTGTTGGCCCAAATAAACTGTTTCCTTGTTTAGAAGCAGCTCTAGATGGTGCAAAACCTAGCAACTTCTGAATGTTTTGTCTAATAGACATTGTACACAAAATATATAGAAATATAAAGGAGCAGTCATAGTAGTCCTCTCCAGGAAGATTTCTGTGACTAAGACCTTGTATCCAGGTCACTGGTGAAAAAGGTAGTCTTGCCACAACTCTACCATCAAAACTGAAAAAAAAATGAAGTCAATGGCTTCTTGAAAAATATTTTGGTACAATTTGCATTACTCACATGCTATTGAACATGCTCAGTAAGGCAGTGAATGCAAAACCAATGGCAAACATGGATTTCATTTTCACAAAGGACAAATCCCTGTTGTCATTTTTTAGTCTTTCCTCTTCGCGCTCAATTTTCTTTTTTTGTTGTTTATCCAATGAATCACCATGAGTTTCCTTTCGTTTTTCCACTGCAAAGATGAAGCTTGAGGATGTGCAAAGTGAAAAGTTAGGGCATAATTTTATTCAAAAAACCTACACTTCTTGCTTTGCTTTTCCACTTCTGTCTTGAGTTTTTGATATTTTTCGGTTCGATAAACCATCAACCAAGTTAATCCTTCTCCTAATAATGCTGTGCAAACCGATATGAAAACGATCAATAATGTATCAGCCCACATTATGATAGTATTTTGTGGTATTTTTATGTTTTTAATTTTTTATCTGACTGTTCACTTGGAAGTAGTTAGGGTTAAGGTCTTCTTCTAATTTTCTGTGCCCTTAATATTTACAGAACAGCCAAAATCTATTCTTGATTTATTATTCCCATATCCCTTGTTCTGCAATTACAAAGGGACCTAGACCTTGCCCAGACCAAAGGGTAATAATGCCAGCTGCAGAACATGTAATATCGCAAAAAATCTCGAAAAAAACGCTAGAAGCGAAGACATTTTTCGAGGTTTAGCGACTTTTCCCCATGATTTAGCTAGAGTCCCTGTATGTATAATTCCCTGTATATATTTGTCAGTTATGTTGTAGCAAAAGTGTCAAATACATACAGGGACTCTAGATTCAGCGACATTTTTGGTCATATTTCCTCATTTTCAGTTAGTTCATAACATCAGATAAAAGACAAAATGAATATACATTTTCCTATTTATTTATTTTTTTTCAATCGAGGATTGAAACTTAATTCTTGAGAGATTAGAGGCCTCAATTTATAGTCGTTTCCTCAAGTATTCCTCTTCGGAGGTTTCTTTAAGAATTCCTCAGCACTTGACTTGAAACTTGTTTTTTTACGAAAGCACCCTGGTGTCACGCACACTTTTCTTTTTTTGAAAACTCATTATAATGACTTTTTTCTCATTATAATGAGTTTTTTCTCATTATATTGACTTTTTTCTCATTATATTGACTTTTTTTTCATTATAATGAGTTTTTTCTCATGAAAATGAGTTTTTTCTCATTATAATGAATTTACTTTCTTTCTTCGGAGTCTTCTCCTGCTTCTAAGACTAACACCAATAGGGTCCAATTCTTTCAATATAATTCTCACACTTCTATTCGTAATTACAAATCCTTGCTGGATGCATTTCAAATGCATCCATCGATAGCCGTGTAACTGTCCGTACTTCTCAACTTGTTCGGCTATAAAATTCAAAACTTCTGGTAAGGGAGTAAAATATTTCTTTCTGTAGAGGCCCATTATCTTCAATATTCGTTTAACTGTTGATAAACTTATACACTGTTTATGATATACCGTCAGGAAAGCCATAATTTCTTCGCAACTAAGACCCAATAAAAAGTAGTATGCAATATAATTGGCCACCACATCCATTTTGATATAAATCATAAGAAATCTAATTAATAATGATAATCTAAACCAAAGAAATCATGTTTACACAGAAAATATAAAGGCGAATAATAATAAAGTCATTATACCTATATAATGAGAAAAAAGTCATTATATAATGAGAAAAAAGTCAATATAATGAGAAAAAAGTTATTATTAGGAGAAAAAACTCATTATAAAGAGAAAAAAAGTCATTAAAATGAGAAAAAATTCATTATAATGAGAAAAAATTCATTATAATGAGAAAAAATTCATTTTAATGAGAAAAAACTCATTATAATGAGAAAAAAGTCATTATAATGAAAAAAAAGTCAATTTAATGAGAAAAAAGTTATTATAATGAGAAAAAACTCATTATAATGAGAAAAAAGTCATTATAATGAGAAAAAACTCATTATAATGAGAAAAAAGTCATTATAATGAGTTTCCAAAAAAAGAAAAGTGTGCGTGACACCAGGGTGCTTTCGTATTTTTTCGATCCCCTTAGAGTAATCCTTCTAAATGGAACCCTCACACTTGGCAACAGTGTAAAGTTAAAGTTTTCGAACCATTCCCAAACCTCATTGTCAGATTGGTCACAGAAATCACGTGATACATTAGGAACAATAAAGGTGGATAGATCACCTTGGGAACAATGATTTAGGAACGCATGCACATTCGCACTCAGCCTCCACAATTTCATTGCGAAAAATAATCATAAAAAACAGGAATCCCAACATATTACATGATGGGAATGATTCGAAAGATTTTGGCACGTCTTAGTCAATGAACACAATGGACGTATCGGGAACGAATCTGCTCCCGTTTTCAACATAAAAAATGTTTATTTGAATAGCGAATTCGTATCTGTCTTGAAACTTTTCAGTTCTCAATGAGCAGCAGATTCGTTCCCGAAACGTCCAAAGCTAAGTGAAAATTTGATATTTTTTCTACATATCTTTACTTCTCTTCTCCAAACCTTTTTTAATACAAATTGTCACTGACAAGCTAGTGAATTTTTTTTTAGGCTCTCTGATAGGAAAATTCACGTACATTGAAATAATATTCATATTTTTATTTTATAGAAACGAGGAGAGAAAATCTCAAAAAATCTGGAATAATAAATATACCACCTCCTCGATTAACCTACAGATAGTCTATACTAATATTATAAAAAGGAAAGATTTGATTGTTTGTTTATTGTTTGTATGAATTGAATAGGCTCCAAAACCATGGATCGATTTGGCTCAAAATTGGAGGGGAGGTGGCTTAGAACCAGAAGGATATAGGAAACTTTTTATCCCGGTACCATTAAGAAATTCAAGATGGCGGATCCAATATATCGGACGAGTTTTGTAATAATTTCGTCAGAATTTGAAAATTCGGGCGGAATTTTGAAATTCAAGATGGCGGACGAGTTTAGTAAATATAATCCGATTCTTTTCAAAATTGGTACCTAGGAGTTTTCGTGATCGGGGATTATGATTCCTTCGTCAAAATTAAGAAATCCAAGATGGCGGATCCAAAATGACGGATTTTGTAATTAGGATCCGATTTTATTCAAATTTTGTATCTTTTGGTTCTCGGGGTCGGAAATTAGGGCTGTCAAGTCATTGATGGAACTTACTTCCATCATTGTCAAGTCATTGGTGATGCCAGGGTGGCCAATGCTTGACTCGACTCCCATCAAAAGTTAACGTGGTAACTTTGTGGCTAGGTTTGAAATGTGACCGATATTCCCAAACAGCTGGTTGGTCAAATCGATGGTCAGACTTCATAATGAACGCATGTGCCCGGTCAAACCACAGACTTGACACAGCCTATGATTCGTTCGTCAAAATTAGGAAATTCAAGATGGCGAACTCAATATGGCGGACGAGTATTGTAATTATGATCCGAATCTCTTCAAAATTGTTATCTGGGTGTTTTCGGGGTCGGAGATTATGATTATTCAGTCAAAATTTGGAAAGGGCGGGATTTGGAAATTCAAGACGGTGGAACCAATATACCGGACGAGTTTTGTAATTACATACCATATCACCAACGATTTCTGCATCGAGGAGTCCTCTCATTTTAACAGGAATAAATGTTCAGATCTAAATAAACAACCAAAAATGACCAATACAAACCGAAAACAAAATGTACCTTATTATAAGAAAAATATATATATATTTCATAAACATAATAGGCACATATTGCTCAACTCCTAGTGTTACCACTGATCCTATAGCCACCAACATTTATTGTCATGCTGTTAACCACCAAATGTGCAAACAATATTGTTCCATTCAAAATGTTTGACTCTGCCTATGGGAGATCTATATTAGCTTTGATTATCAGAAATGGTCATGTAAGATCCACTGAATGAAATATTTGGTGACTGATACATGGATTAAAAATGTTGAATAAATTTGAATTAAATTTAATCAATATGTAAAAATTATAGCACAAAACTTTTATTCACACAAAACTTACCTTTTTCTATAATAATGTAAAGTATGTTAAATAACATCGTTTTCCTTTTTTACTCAAATAAGTCAATCCTTCTGAACAATTACCAACATAATTGGAACACAATTTCAGGTCATGAATAAAGAATAAAAAAGAATGAATAAATTAACCCTTTCAAACAATTATTTTACACAACGTTACAAATTACAATTTGTAGTTTTACAACACTAAAATGTGTAGAAAATAAAACCCTTCCTATCACAGATAAGAGCCTTGGGAAATTAGTCCTTGAAATCCGGTGAATCATTACGTTTGACATATACCTCTCCGAACTTACTCATATATTTTCGAATATACTCCCTCGCCTTCATCTTCACACTATCTGTACATGTCAATTCTTCAATCTTCGATATGTGTTTCATTTCTTTCAGCATCACAAAGTGTGTCAACTGAAATACATGGAAATATAGGGTTATTCCCGATCCCTCTATATCCCTACATATATCAACAAAATTGACATTTTGTGAGCAATCTTGATGCTATGGGTTGCGTGCAAGAACTGTCAGATGACCGACGCTGGAGGCAAAACATTGAAACACAACCTCACTTTTCTTATTTGTTTACAAGTGAATGAAATAGTTTTTCACAATTATTTTGGCATACGAATCGTATTTTTCCGCTGTTTATCAATTCGCTCATGCCATCACATTATGCTAATGTGAAATGCACAAAAACTGCAGCGGAAGATGAAGTTATCCGGTTGGTACAATATGATTTAAAAGTAAGTACCTACTATAGTCACTCACATATAGTTTTCATTTTTGAAATTTGGTAATTTCTCTGATTTCTCATCGGAATTCCTCCTGCGATAGGAGCTAATAGAAATACACCTGAAATTTCTAAAATAATGCCAGAAGATTGGATTCAATCAATGGGGAGGACTGGTCTGACATGCTGACGATCGTGTGTGTTTTTTAGACATTTTCAATCTATTAGCAGTTAGTATTAGCTTGTATTGCAGAAGTGGCAGAAGGCAGAAGGAATTTTAATAAGGAATGACAACATTTCATATTGATAACTATGTGAGATTACTATGTACCTGAAAAATCGTATTCTTTAGTCTCTTGCTGCATTTTTTGTGCATTTTACAACAGCACAATGCGAAGGCATAAAAAAGTGAGGTTGTGTTTCAATAATTCACAGAAGAATGAGGTTGTGTTTCAATATTTTGCCTCCGGGGTCGATCATCGTGCACGCGACCTATTGTATGATAACCATACGAAACGTCATTTTTGTGGATACACGATGAGAAATACGGAGTTCCGTAATACCCCTTATGATGGTTATATTGATCATTCCAAGTATGAATATGCAACAGCATAATGTAGAGTTTCCAGAAATAGCAAGGAAATAAATTAATTCTAACCTAACTTTTCTACCGTCTGTCATCTTCATCTTCAAAAGCTATCATCCAGTCGAATCCAGGGTCAAATCTAACAAACACTGCGAATATTCGAAGATAATCCTCAGATTATCTGACTGATCAGTTATGTGTTGTATCCTGGATTGTTCACGGGTGATTTCGTCACGCATTTTTCAGCGTTTTTCATGTTATGAAATATCGTGAAAATAAATAATTATTGAAAATATGTACAGAGCTCTGAGGAAAAAAGGTTTGTGACAGTGGACTAGGGCTAGTACCTCAAAATAATGAAATGGAAATGTTCACTGAGGCAGGCCCATTATGAATTGAATTGTTCCCAGTTCAACGGGGAAATGTTGAAGTAGCTACAGACTGGGCTCTGAAATAACTTATTTGGCAGAAACTATAGTTCCACTGTCCTACAAACAAGGAAGAGAAGAACAATGCTAGTTCTCACTACTACGTGATAAGCTTGGAAAAGTTTGCTGACGAGTATGCGCAGTGTGTATATCATACTAGGCCGGCCTTGGATAATTTAAAACATACCAATCATACCATATATCATCGCTATTACTGCAATGTGCCGCATGACAAGAAATAAAAACAGCGGACATTCATACAAACTCCTCAAGATCGTTGATGAAATAGCAAAACACTAGCAAATATACACATTATGCATAATACACCAACCACAAACATGGTGAAAATAGCTCACGGACGATCGATAATAAGATCACAGATAAGCCGGCTCTGATTAAATCTACGATTATAGACATAATGTTCTACCAAGTCTCTAAAACAGAGATCATAGGCATGCAGTGCTGACGTTGATGCAACCAATTTTGATGATCGCTATTGTCCTTACATTTGTTGTTTATGGGTCAGTGCCTAGTTAATTAAAAAACTTATCAGTCACTTAGAGCTGTTAGATTGGGCGATATCCCAGATTATAATCAAATTCTCAGAAGGTGGATGATGTGAAACACGTATTACTGTCGTACGTGCCAAAATTCAGTTTCTCCGATTGACTATAAGATAGTATTGGTGCCTTCTAAAGCTAATAGTAGAAATAAATCTAATGGCTGCAGATATATAGTAAGATTATAAAATAAATGAGTTACCTTTCGAGCTAAATGTTTGAAGTCTTCGGTATTAGTTATTTTTCCTTCTATACAATCAGACTTTCTGTAAACATTCAGGGAATTGACAACCGTTGACGCCATATTGGCACGGAAGGTCTCCTTAATTTTCTTAGCGGCATCACTGTTGAAATCTGGCATATCTTTTATTTTCGTCTTCAAAGATGGCCTGGATCGTTTCTCTTTCAACTTCTTCAGTTCAATCTCTCTCAGCTGTTTCTTGGTTTGCTGAAGTATAAGTTCCTTTTGACGTTTTAGTTTTTCTTTGTTGGCTTTGTAACGTTTCATGTCTTCTTTGAATTGTTTCTTATCTTCATCAGTCCTTGGCTGGAAAATCGAATAAAAATCACATTTTTTCGATGAAGCCATTGAATCAGAGAATAATATAGCTCGGATCATAAAACTGTATCCTCTACCTTCTTATAAGATTACTAGTCAGATATTTTTGTTTTGCTCTTTTTTGTTGGTCACTTATAACGATGCTGGTAAGAGCCTCTAGTAACAGTAGTAACTAGTTGAAAATAGTGATATTTTCCTTTTTTTTTGCGGAAAAAACATTACATTCTATATACCTCTATGGAACCGCTGCCAAATCAATAATTATTCGAGAGGACTTTTCGAATGAAACATCTAAATCAACTCGGCATGAATAGCTTATGACACAAAATAGAACACACTTATATAACATAATAATACATCCATAGGAATTCATTAGGTACTGATAATGATAACTCATTAGTTATTGCAGGTTATTGTTAGGTTCATAACAAAATACAAAATCTGAAGATATACGTGGGCACCGCAAATGTTCGTAGTGGACGGGCAATAATCGTTGTAAGACATTTCATTCGTCGTTTTTGTTGTTATTCATGGTTTTCCGGCTGTTGTGTGATTGGTTCGGCAGTGTCAAATATTTAAAGAAAAATTAGTTTAGTTCCTAACCTGGGATATCTCACAGGTCCGTAGAAATTTGGTCCAGTGGCGGTGTTGTTTGAGGGCTCGCTTTTTTTTATGAAAAGCGTGTTCAAAATATTGAAAATATCAAATAACATCACGTAGACTTTACAAATGACGTATCATTATGTTCCAACATGTGAGAGTTAATTTATCGATGGAAATTGGAGCTACACATTATTAGAAATTCCGATTTATTAGAAACATAAAATATACATCGTAAAATACCCTATTGAGTGATGCTTTTCGCCACAAGAGAAATGCACAATTAGTTTCATCAAGAACTCAAATTTCAGTCAGAATTGTGTACATGGTTTCTTGAAAATTTTTCATGGTTACAAATCTGGTGTGGATCTGGATTGACACAAATTTGTGTGGACCTTGAGTTTAAATCAACTTCAAAATGTTTACCGTTTATCTATAAAGAATATCAATTCTCTTGTAATGGATCCGCAGAGTTAACCCCACCATTCGCGATTTCATTCATATATCCGTGTTTGTTGTGCAGGATTGTTGGCGTATACTTTTTAAACATTTATTAATCAATCGCAGTGTCTACCTATTGTTATTTAGTATCAGGTTAGAACACTTTCCCAGCCGGATATTTATCTGTTGTTACTACTTCATTCGAGTTTAATGATACAACTTTCTCAATAAATATGAAACAGGCGATTTATGGTACTGCAGATATAAGGAAAAACAGGACGCAGAAAGTCATGTTGGATTCTATGGAATCTAATCCTCTGCGAGTTACAATGGGAGTTCCTCAAGGATCGATCTTAGGTCCCTTGTTTTTTGTTATTTTCATGAATGATATTATATATTCTTGTACTTCTCCACACAAAATGGTAATTTATGCTGATGACACAAATCAACTGAAAGCCAAAAACGATCTGTTAAAACCTGCACCTGTTAAAGAACCATTTGATTGTGCACAAGAATTTCACCATTGGTGTCACAAAAATGATCTATTGGGACCTATTTTTACCAAAGAACATTAGCTATGACTATAGTCCTTTGATGAAAATAGATCATATATCCATCAAAGAAATGACTGAAAAGAAATTCTTGGGTGTCACCGCATGTAGACAATATAGTATCAAGATTGAGCAGTGTTTGTTTTGTTATCAGGTAACTGAGGAATACAGTTTCTCTGAATGTGCTCAAACTTGCCTATCATGGGTTAGTGCAATCCATCGTAACTTATGGTCTGATTTTCTGGGGAAAATCAAGTCATGCCTATAGGGATATTATAATGCAGAAAAAAATAATCAGATGCCTGGTGGGTGCGCACCCTTGAGAAAGCTGTCGTCAAATCTTTGTGAAACTATCACTCCTCACTCTACAAAGTTTATACATATTTTTATCATCACTAAATATGAAACAAGACGAATCAAACCTTATAGGAACCAATATGATTCATAATTATGATATCCGTCGAAGGGATGATCTCCGCATGCCATTCTCACGACTTGGTGTAGCACAAAACTCACATTCTTATCAAGGTGTTATCTGTTACAACCGTGTGGTTAGTATTCTTGGAAATATCACCAGTTTCAATGAATTTATATTAAAACTATTCAACTACTTAAGTGCTGCGGCTTTTTACTCAATGAAAGAATTTTCAGAATGTTAGTGATGAATGTATTGTGAATATATTTGAACAAATCAGTAAACATCTTTTATCCTCTCTCTGGACTTGTATAAAATGTTATTGAAACTGTTTTGATGGATTAATGTAATAATGCTAGACTGTCCGAATTTGTGAATGTATTTCTAAAATTTGATAATGTATTTGTTTTTTTCTCAATTTAAAATATTTTCGTCCTCTGCATGACTTGTGTAAAAACTTCAATGATGAATAAATTATTCATCTATCTATCTAGAGACCTCGAGATATCATCTACCCAAGTTAACCGATCGTTTGCGTTCGAACAAAATAAACTGAATTCAAAACAATCAAACAAATCACTCACGCTTATGATAATTTCCTCGCACAACCCAACCCTTCTCTTCTTACTAGGTGGTTTGTCGTCTTTGAACAAATCGAGCAGTTTCAGTCTCATGTCGATAGAAGGCCTTTGCGTGTCGTCTTCGTTGAACGGGGCCGATTTCGCAATATTCTCATCCAAATCCATGTCATCTTCGGAATTCTTATCTTCCGGACTGGGCGTTGCGACGCAAGATTCTTCGGGGTTGGATTGCTCAGGGATCGGTGCCTTAGCTTTAGCTTTGGCGGAGTTGTCCATCTGTTTCCGAACTTCCATGAGAAGTTTTGTATCGTCGACGTCGCTCTCGGAGTTGTCCGAGCTCGAGTCCGAACTGATGCTGCTCGTGTCAGAACTAGATTCCGATTCAGATGCTGAAAATAGTTATTTATGTACCAAGGACGAAAATTATAGTCGTGTCTGCAAATTGACAGTCGAGGCTAGCAAGTAGGCAAGACAATAGTTTTTCGCCGAAGTGCATATTATATTTTTTCGCCGACCTCGAACAATAATATTCACACCACGGTATTATTCACACGTAAAATAGATCGGATTTCGTGAGTAATTAATTTAAAAGCAGCAGTTATTGTGAACTCAATCATCAATCTCACACCGTGCCAAATCACAGTGACCACAGCAGACGAGAAGAGTTTGGGGACGAAAAATACTTGCCTTTAAAAATAGTCGATTTTTCATTCGGAGATAAGTACGTAAGTCATTTCATGTAGAGGTCAACGAAAAAGGTAAGCTTCCGGTGACCAGTTAGTATTGACCCATTTGAAATGTTTGAATCTGACAATCTATTCAAGATATTGCCTCGCTGTTTCTGAATATAAGTCATTCCAGTTAAGAATCAAGCAGAGAGTGGGATAGGGAGTATTTGACCTCGCTTTTCATTGGTCTGGATGCTAAGCAAGTTTACATTAGCGATATTGATATTGATTAGGTGACCAATCGGCAGTATATGAACAGTCTAAATAAATCCAAAGTTGAGTTGGTTGATAATAGCATTCATTTCCGAATCAATCTTAAATGAAAACTGGTCAGGAAAATATGATTGAAAAATATTTGGCTTCATTTGATTACTCATAATTGCAATGTTATAACTTTCAACTTGAGAAAAAGTATGGATTTGTTTCTACTGAGTGGAATTCATTAGTTAAACTTTTATTAATGATAATATTTTTTTGATATGTGTTCATGTATTCCAATTATAAACAGATATGTTTCTTGGGGTAATAAAGACAATCAATCAATCAATATCAATATTTTATACAAATCTCCGAATAAACAAAAAAACAAAGTTTCACTTTTTTAAAAGGCTTTCTCATAATGGTTACGAGTTACGAGTATATCCTGAAAATGAATTTGATTGATTGTCTTTATTACCCAGAGAAACATTATTGTTTATAATAGGGATATATACAACAAAACATACATAAAACACAATGAATCAGAACAATAATAATTGCACAATCATTGTTTTTCATAAAAAAAATATATAAAATGAAAATATTATAATCCATTCCAAGTAATCAAATCGTCAATGATTAGTAGATATGGAATTAAAGTTTACTGAGCAGTTATTTCTTTAAATTGATTTTAAATCTTTTTGCTTCATTCATATTTTTCAATTCATTAGGTCAGGAGTTATATGAAATTATTCCACTATGGAATATTGATTGTTTACCAAAATTTGCTATCAATAAATTAAATTGCCTTGTTTCTTGGGCGTGAATCGTATTAACTTCTATAAAATTCAAATTTAATATTTTCAATTCCTTCCTGACAAAATGCCATCGTCGACTTCCCCCTGAACGGTTTGGACATGAGCCACTACTCGTCTGACAGCATTTTACCAGTTGGATTCGACCTTAATGCCATTTCCAACCATAATGGTTTCATCTACACCGGACACTACACGGCCTATTGTAGACACCCATATTAGAATGTTTTATAATATAAACATGATCAAAAAAGTTGATAGCTTGTCCATGGTCATATATTTTTTTTCCTTCCACTGACCAACTAAAATTCATTTTCTCATTGAGTACAATTAACATAATAAATACATTTTTATATTATCTAAAAATAACCGTAAGAAACATGATATGTTGCATAAGTATTTTTTCATGTAATCAAATTTCTAAAATTTCTGAATTCTCAATTAACCACGATTTAATTTTTTTCTTGAATCCAAAAAAACTGATTTTTTTTTCAAAGAAAAAGTCATTTTTTTACCTGTATTTTATTTTTTTCCATTTGTTCTGCATTTTTTATCTGTATCAATATCTGTATATTGTTAGTCTTTTAACTTCATTTTATTTATAGTTTTAATTCTTTGAGCGGTAACAAATGTACAGTGTACGTAACATGGTTAAATACAGTATTCTATTCTACAACGAAAACAACGCATATATAATACTAGGCCGCGAATTAAGACGAGTAAAAAACCGTGAACAACAATAAACAGTGTAAACATATCCTCCATAAATTTGCAGTTATCAGAGGATTAAACTGTGGTTTGGTGTGAAACTGGTTTTGGGCGCGTATGTGAGATATAAAGTAGCCAATATTAAAATAAAGTCTCAATGCAGTCAATACGGCTAGCATAGCCTCGTGGTTGAAGCGTCAGTATTCTATCCACGTTGGATTGCCGGTAGGTGGGTCCGATTCCCACCACGACCGCAGAAATTTTTCTGATGGCCCAAGAAAGTGTTTGGGATCACACGTTAAAAGGTAAGACCCCCGTCATTCCTTACTCGCACAAGTCTCTTGAAGACTTCCGAGGGTTGCTAGCAAGGGGGCAATCGAATGATGGATAAGAACAACAACAAAACAACAATACATATACAGAATTTCTTAATACCCAAACATATAGATGGACATGGTATCGTCGCAGTCGCGCTATCATGGCATCAATAGGCATCAGCCTATTGAGAAAATAAAAAAATACAGACATACAAATATGGGAAACTTCCCCAATGACTGTTTGAAAAAAAAATCACAAGTTTGGCGCGTTCTAAAGCCGTATTGTTCACCCTACGAGTCTACTCCAATGGTGATAAGAAACATCAGGGCCGGATTTAGAAAATATAGACTCCTAGGCTCTACCTGTGGTGGGGGGCCCGCATCCAAAAAAAAATTGAAATTTATAACACAGGTTATTTTCGATGAAGATAAGCCACAAAAGTAAACATAACTTTATCACTTTAGTGTACAACAAGAAAAGTACAAGTCAATATTAAGTACTTATCCTCTCTTATTTAGATCATATATCTTAGTCAGTCACTCTTGCTGATTGGTTTCCGTCTAATCTTCCCCATAATGAAGGCGTTTATGATATTCTCATGATTGACTTTGTTTGTCAGAATGTCGTGTTCTATACTAAGTGTGTAGCCTGTCTTCTGACATAGAGATCCGGAGTCTGTTCTTGATCACACAGAGTGTCAATATTCTAATCCGCATTCGCTTGCCGGTCGTGGGTTCGATTCCCAGCGACTGCAGAAATTTTTCTGATGGCCCAAGAAAGTGTTTGGGATCACACGTTAAAAGGTAAGGCCCCCGTCATTCCTTGCTCGCACAAGACTCTCGAAGACTTCTGAGGGTTGCTCGTAAGGGGGCAACCGAATGACGGATAGAACAATGACAACAATGACAATGATCAGCTTATTCAGCTTAGAGAATGATCATTCTGCAGAGCAAGGAAAAGTACATTCTTAACGCCACTTCTATACCCACAATCATGGTATATTGTAAAAAATATGACCTGTGACATTATTTTGTTTTTTTTTGTGGTGTGGCTCCTTTGTGGTGCGGCCCCTTTGTGGTGCAGGCCCCGAGGCACGCGCCTATGTTGCGTATGCTTAAATCCGACCCTGAGAAACATATGAAACATGTGAACTAAAAACAAGAATATCCTCATAGGGGACTTGATTTTGCGTCACCGTGTGGCTTGTCGAAGCTCTATTGAATCTATTACTGAATATACTTACAGTCGAGGTTTTCATCTAAAACTGGATCTACCAAAGGCGGTGGTTCCCACTGGCTCTTCCTCAATTTGATGTGGTAATAGTACGGCCTTCCGTACTTGTCTTTGGCACATTTCCATTTGGGTGGTAGCTTCACGGGAGGCGGAATGGGACCCATGAATTTCACTTGAGAAGGATCTTCTTCCTTGATAGGTTCGTGATACTGCACTATGGGCATTGCAGTTGGAAGATTCGAAGGTATCTGAGGGTTCGTTGAACGAAATAATATTGTTGCTTTGGGCAGCAGTAAAACAACATTAATTTTTGTTTAATTCGACTTTACCGAATGTTACAGGGTGTTTTAGTATAATTTCTGTTTAAGTCGTCTTTACCAAATGTTCAATGAATTAAACATCGATCGAACGCTTTGAGGATGAATAATAATTTGTGATGTCATTTCATAAAAAATACTATTTCAGAGTTATGAGAATCCATATTCTATAACTGTATTCAAGTAGATAAACCAATTAGGATATAATTTAGGTTAACAAAAGGTGTCAAAATGTCTATAAAATTTGCCTTTAATTGTGGATTGGTTATCATGGTGTGATGGTCCATTACCAACATGGAATAGTATATTGTTTAACGAGCACGGAATAATAGTCATTTGCCACGAGAAAGAAGTTTGCAACTTGAGCCGTATAATTTTTTCTCCATGTTATGAATCAATTTTGTGTAATTTTGCAGAGAAAGTATACCTCTTCTGCCAGATAAGTATCATAGAAAAGCCACTTTCTATGCCGCCTGGAGAAAAACAAAATGTTTTTTCGCAACAAGTACGCTTTTCGGAGTGAATTTGGCACATCAGTTGATGCAGTTATTGAACGAAATAATGACAAGTATCTTAGGATTTGGTTCGATGATTTTCAGTGGAATAACCATATTTAAAAAAATATTACAGTCAATTCAAAATGAAATATCACTAATAAATGTTCATAATTTTATATCGAAGGGTCCGAGGAAGAATACATATTTTTGGACCTAAACTATTCACTCACCTGTGACATTACCGCAGGAGATGGCAGCTGTAGACCACCATGTGTCAATTGAGAAATGCCCATACCCACGTTGGTGCTCATCGGTAGTGGGGGAGTGTAAGAATAGCTGGGCATACTTTTTGGTATTTGGTGAGGAGGGAGACTCATGTTGGGCAAAGGAGACTGCGATGGGTACATGGAGGTGTTCGGAGGTAACGGGTAGTTCTGCCATTGACCTATAATAGTTATTTATGTATCAAGGGCGTAAAGTAGGCGTTTAGGGCCTGTGGCGTGAATAATGGCCCGATGGCGCTAGCCGAGGGCCATTACACGCTGAAGGCCATAAACGCATTTCACGCACGAGATACATACAAAATTTTATGCACTAGTGGTTTATTTTCTGACTCATAAGTAATGACTATAGATTTCGATAAACTAATATTCCCCAGAATTTAGTTTGTTACGCATAAATTCAGTGAAAATTATCGTACGAATATTGCAATTATCGTAATAGTAAAACTCTTTCAGCTCTAGAAGAGATTCATTCTTCAGAATTCCACAATATGCATACCCAGTATACAAACCTAACTTATTTTGACGTTGTCAATCAATCTGATGGTTGTTGTCTATAGCAATACATCTAATAAACGAGCTGAATTGTCATTCTTTGATTGAAAAGTAAAATTAGCGATAATAATAATAGCTAGACTATGGAATCGGATGAAGAAGAAGTTTATGATATACTGCTGGATATATCAGAATCTAGGAATATGATTATAGGTTTTTCATAAATTGATATGTGGATATAAGGTGACTGAGAACAGCGGGCGGTAAAGTGTACTTTACGGCCCGTGGGCCATAATGAGCCTCCGGGCGGTAAAGTGCGACTTAACGCCCGCAAAACCGGGCGGTAAAGTGCGACTTAACGCCCGCAAAACCGGGCGGTAAAGTGGAATTTACGGCCCGCTAGTGCATAAAATAAATAAATGAATAAAGAATTCATTATTCCAGAATTGTTGGGATTTTCTCTCCTCGTTTCTATACAATAAAAATATGAATATTATTTCAATGTACGTGTAATAAGGACAAATCAGATGATTTGCCCCAAAATATCACTGCGTTTAAAGAATTTTCCTATCAGAGAGCCTGAAAGAAAAATATATATACCTTCATTTCTCTTCTCCAAACCTTTTTCAATACAAATTGTCACTGACAAGCTAGTGAATTCTTCATTTAGGCTCTCTGATAGATAAATTCTTTAAACGCAGTGACATTTTGGGGCAAATCATCTGATTTGTCATTATTACACGTATATTGAAATAATATTCATATTTTTACTTTATAGAAACGAGGAGAGAAAATCCCAAAAAATCTGGAATAATGAATGTACCACCTCCTCGATTAACCTACAGATAGTATTTAAATAAGAATGTTAATGAACATATGTATTCATCAAATGAAAAAAAATTGTGTGTCCGGAAACAGAAAAATATTTAGAAGTTGCCAATCTCAGTAGACTTGGAAAATAAATAAAGACTGACTGCCTCACTTGATTCAAAAACAATATCCTAGTCTTTCCATTTTATAGGCGATTGCATTTATGATTGCAGCGCCATAGTGGTCGATAGTGAAACTATATAAATTCCGTTGTATGTTAAAGTTATCTTTTTGACAGTGTGTATAATTTATCACTATCCTGTACATGAGTTTCTCATCAAAAGTAATTGAGCTCATCCTGAAGTCAACTTTCTTGTCATGTTTCCGATCTCTTCGGCCTCTTCAATATTCATACATTTATTGTGAACTCTTTTGATAATCCTAAAATCAGAACCATGTAGAATCTAAACCTACAGTACAGAAAAATCGTATTCTGAATTGACTCCGTTACTTGATGGAAATTCATAGCAAATGTAAAAACTTCACAAACGATGAGATTTCCACAAAATTCTTGATCACACGACATGTTTCGCTAACGCAGGAGCTTCATCAGGTGAAATACTGGTACAATGAACTAAACTAACCTTGGCTTGCCCAAACTTATATATATCCTACTATCCGAACCTGAAGGAATAGGCACAATACCTACATTAAAATACAGTGTAACAACGGATTAATTTGAAAGGGTTGATGGCAAATACATATTATTACCTACTTAGTAAACAAATTCAACAGTGGTGAACTATTGAGTCTAGTTCTAGTTGATCGTTAAGTAAAATGTTACAATTTTTGAGTTTGTTGATTTTCCTTTTCTATTCCTTTTTTCCTGGTAGATGACCTCAGTCACATATACGTCCAGCTTATTTGAGTACTTTTTGTCCTTTGTAAACACATGTAGATGAATCGACTACAATATACATCTCAGTAACCTACTCTGAGATATAATTTCATATTTATTCCATTTAATTTTCAATATTTATTTCACTGATGAATGGAATCGACATGAAAACTAACGTTACCACATTAGGGAATTTTTCATTTCATAAATTCCATGTTTTTGAAGTAGTGAAACATACTTTAGTGAACAAGTATCTGCTGAAAAGCTTCTCTGAATCACGAAAATACACAGATAAACAGTTAAAAATGAAGTTTCCTTTGCTCAAATCACTACCGAAGAATCCAAATAATACATACAAGCAAATGAACCATTTCAAATCAATGTACTTTCAGGGCTTTGGTAGAGTCTGTGTTATCATATGGAGTTTCAGCCTGTGCCAGTAGCACAAAAATGCATTTAAGAAATTATTATGTTCAGAAATAAAACATTTCCTACTGACAAACTCTTTCAAGATGCAAGAGTTCTTGACATTTCTCAATTATATTTGAAATCTGTTGTGAGATATATTTCACAAAAAAAAATTAATGTACCGAAAGTTGATCATGTTATAACAACTAGATCAGTAACAAATGAAAATGTAATTTCCACTACATCCTAAGTGACTATTCAGTGAAGTATATTTGTTCTTATATATATAGGGCCGACAATGTATAACATACTGTCAAACGAACTCAAAGGCAAACCATACAAAAAATCAAAAATTAAATATCATCTTGGATTTCAAGAAGCAAACCCAATATCTAGATCTAGCTATTAGTTTGACATAATATTTTGCATATATTGTATATAATCAGATTGTATATATTGGTATATAAGATGATTCATTAGCAAATTCACTCATTAGTGAATTTTCTATTGTACATGTGATTTAATAATGGCTGGTGCACACACAAGCTTTAAAAGCTCATTTTGTACCTAAAAATGTATGTAAACCGCTATTCATGGCTATATGAATAAATACTCAAATACTCAAATATAGTTCCACAACCGGCCACTTTGGCGCTGCGATCTTAAATTCAGTCGCCTATAAGTGACAAGAAGCTAAGCTAAGCTAAGCTAAGCTAAGCTAAGCTAAGCTTATTGACTAGTACTTAGCCCATAGATCAATTAAAGTAAAAGTGAACAATTCCATCTCCAGACAATTTCCACTCGAGGCAGTAGTCCCACAGGGAGGGGTCGTATATCTCACCTCTGTTGTACTCTTTATATACGTATGACCTTCCTGTGTTCGAGCGAACGAGTACCGCATTGTATGCAGATGATACTGCAATATATGCACATACGTTCAGCTCGGAACGTCGCCAGGGCACAGATTCAGAAGCATCTGGACAGGATGGTCTTACCGTATTTTGACAACGCAAAGATTGGTGTAAATCAGGCCAAGACAGAAGTCATTAATTTCTCTAGAAAACGCGTCTATAACAAAATACACCAACCTCTGCGTGCCAAAGGCACTGAGGTGAGAGACGGGGCCTCCGTGAGATACCTGGGAGTAATACTCGACAGGCGTATGAACTTTCAGGAAAATACAGCACTAAGGTTAAACAACGCCAATGCTGCGATCAGGAAGCTGTACCGGCTGCTAGCGAGGAATTCCTCGCTGACAGTGGATAATAAGCTCCTGATCTACAAGCAAATAATAAGACCAACTCTTACATACGCCTGTCCTGTGTTCTGCAGTATTTCTCCTAGTCACATGAGTAGGCTATACATTCGGCAGAATAATGTACTCCGTAACATTACCAACGATAATAGATACACTCGAGTGGCAGATATGCATGCACAATGCCATGATCTGCCCATGATAAGAGAATACATACTGAACGTAGCACAAAAATTTTATAAATACCATCTATCAAACAGTACTCTAACAGAAAACATAACAGCCATCAGAGCATATCATGGCATACGTAGAAAACACGGGCTAATCTACGAAGCCTGCGATATTTTCAGGGAACCCCTGAAATGATTACCCACCCTCCCACATTTCCTAACAAACTGAAATTGAACGTATTTTTTTCAAAAACTTGGAAGTTATCTGATCGGCCGGAAGACTAAACGCTGCTGGCCGACCAGACGACTTCCGAGCATGCCCAACCCAGAGAGGAGGGGCCACCAGAAACCAAATGCCCATTTTCTACAATGGGCAACATACACGATCGTGCAAGCACCAAGTGCGACCTCGAATTTCAGTTTGTTCAATCCCTACAACCCTCCGAAGCTCATCCCACCCTGAACCCACCCCGAAGGCCGATGGCAAAATGAAGGATCTAAAGTGTGGTTTTTTAATTTTATTTTCCACAGAATTACCGCCCGTCCCGAGCAACTCGCCTGCATCAACTACGAGAAGGACATAGTCCTAGGACGTGGTTCGCCAGCGATTTTCATTATGCTTGTGTAAATCTTACCGCCCCCCTGGACCACTCGTGGCCGACCTCTGAGACCTTTTCGGGACCCTCGGAGGGCTTTTAACATGTGATGTGTGTGACGTATTTATTCTATTTATGTTTTAGACTTAGTTAATATAGGTTTTATTTATACAAACATATATAATGTATCAAGATGAAATGAATAAATAGATTTCAAAAGGTGACAAGAACAGTACCACTCAACTCACCGATCTGTGGATTCCAGACGCAATGGTACCCCCTGCTCGGGTCGAAGGGCGCCGTGAAGCGCGGGTCTGTGCCCATCATCATGCAGTTCGTCTCGTGCTGGCGCCACATCTCGCGCTGCTTCAGCCGGCGCTCCTCCTCGCGCAGCTCGTGCTGCAGCGCGAACAGCTTGCGTCGTTCCACCTTGGGAAATTAGAGTTCCTAAATGTACTTGACACTGCTGTTTTGACGTTTTTTGTATGGGTTGCGTGCAAGAACTGTCAGATGACCGACCCTGGAGGCACAACATTGAAACACAACCTCACTTTTCTTATTTGTTCACAAGTGATTGAAATAGTTTTTCACAGTTATTTTGGCATACGAATCGTATTTTTTGGCTATTCATTAATTCGCTTATGCCATCACATTGTGCTGTTGTACAATGCACAAAGACTGCAGCAGAAGACTAAGGAATCCTGTTGGTACATTATGTTTTGAAAGTAAGTACCTACTATAGTCACTTACATACAGTTTTCATTTTTGAAATTTAGTATTTTCTTTGATTTCTCATCGGAATTCCTTCTGCAATAGGAGCTAATAGAAATACAAATAGAAATTTCTAAAATAATGCAAAAGATTGGATTCATGCAATCAAACGGGACGACTGGTCTGACATGCTGACGAAATATGATCGTGTGTGTTGTAGACATTTTCAATCTATTAGCAGTATTAGCTTGTATTGCAGAAGTGGCAGAAGGAATTTTAATAAGAAATGACAACATTTCATAATGATAACTATGTGAGATTACTATATTCACCTGAAAAATCACATCCCTTCGTCTCTCGCTGCATTGTACAACAGCACAATGCGAAGGCATGCTTGAATTAATGAATAGCACAAAAAACACGATTCGTTTGCCATAATATTGTGAAAGACTATTTCAATCCTTTGATTCCTCTGTAACCAAATGAAAAAGTGAGGTTGTGTTTCAATAATTCACAGAAGAGTGAGGTTGTGTTCCAATACTTTGCCTCCAGGGTCGGTCATCGTGCACGCGACCTATATTACAGTACGGACACTAGACAAGCAGTGGCAATCAAACATAACCACAAACGATTTTGAGGCAAATCATATGTTTTGCCAGACAAGGACAAGAATATGATTTTCGCTTGGATAAAGGATCCTCGCATCTTCCTTCCTCTACAAGTCCTAGGAAGAGTACATCCATATATCTTTCTCTGTCTTTGATTTTTGTATGAGAGTGCATAGCGTCTCCTCGAGTGGGAAAAAGGATACTATAAATTGATTAGAAAATTATTTCTTCTCGAAATATTGAACGATAAGGTTGACGGACCTCAATGGAGGTCGATATCAAGTTGGTATGTACATATATATCAACGAAATACATATACTATTCCTATGAAATAAGTCTCTTATATGTAAGTATATATACAGGGTGTTGCGAAATTCGACCGACAACGCTTGACAGGTGCTAGCCCTCGTGATTTCATAATCACTGAGATAGGGACATACGGTCCTCAAGTGTTCAGTTCTCGAGATACAGGGCGTTAAAGTTAAGAAATACAAATAGTTGTTTCGCAATATCTCAAGAAAAATTGAATAAAATGCATTCTACTTCGGTATATGGTTTCATCTTTGAATGGGTCATTTTTTGATCAGGAAGCCATTCCGGACATTTTATCCAGTGGTGCCCTACAGGGGGTTGTGGCAACTTTTCCTCCCATATTTTCTAAGCCACTGATTGAAATTCAATTATTTCCAATTCCACGAATTCATTGTTCAATTTTGTTCAAAAAATTCATCACTTTCAACTGAGCTCAAATGATCAGTTTTCGAGATATTCGACCCAAAATAGAAGATTGCATAGTAATATTTCATCATTTTCAGTAGTAGAAAATTGCTAAAATATTTTTCTGGCGTTGAGTAGATTAGATACTATTCAGATATCATTCTGTAGCTGAACACAGAAATAGTTATTCCACGCTTAAAGAGACAACAACAATTTTTGTAATTTTCTACTACTGAGGAAGATGAAAAATCACTATGCAAACTTCTGTTTTGGGTCAAATATCTCGATAACTGTTCATCAGTGGCGTAGAAAATATGGGAGGAAAAGTTATCACAACCCTCTGTAGCGCACCTCTGGATAAAATTCTCGGAATGTCTTTCTGGTCAAAAAATTAACGGTTGAAAGATGAAACCATATACCACTTTTATTTTATATGGAACAATTTCACTTGAACAAGAGTGGTAGGTAATAAGAAATTAATAAATGCACAAATGGTATGATGAAAATCATTTCGGACCTGTAACAAATGATGATGATGATATCTCGGATATGGAACTGGAGACGATATATTATACTGAAGGACAGTTGGAGATATTCAAGAGTGATGGGTGATGTGTGTAATTCAATGATGGAGATGAAGTTTTCTAGCCGTCACAATAACATCAAGAACAACAGCAAACAGAAAACCGATTGCCTAAAATGGAAGAAGAGGACATATAGTCTAAGATCCGAACCTAAGTCGACCTTCACCGAGCTGATAATAGAACGAAATATATTTTATCATGAATTTAGTATATTAGAAAACATATTAAAAATGGGTTGCCAAAAAAAATCCTGGGCAGACTATTTTTAATTATTTTTCGAAAAATTATTTTTAATTAAATGTTGCAACATCAGGATAATAAAAAAATTGTGTCCTGACTGAAAGTATGAAACGTATAGTATGTGCAGCCGTTGGGGTGTCTACTATTTACCTGGGCGAACTACTGGGTTGTCAGGTAAACACAGGTATATCGATGCCAGTTACTTTCACTGGATTGGATAATTTAAAAAAATGTATATCATCATAAGCGCTGTTTAATTGCGAACACGTTGATATAGGGTTGTCTGCGAAAATTCCGGTCCGATTAGGGGTTTTTAATTTCAACGCGCGTGGAAGTGTGTGACAGAGAGATCCGAGGTAAGTATACTGTGTGATAATAAAGGACCCAACATCGCAGTCGCTTGTGATGGGACCCTGAATAGTAGAAAGTGCGCATGCTCGGTGTGTAAACTATGGAGGGTAGAGGTACCTCTACTACCCTTCATATAGTAAACAGGGCGTGTTATTTTGGAGCAACTGATATTTCAGTAGCAAAAAAAAAATAATTAATTAATTACATAATAATTAAATATATTTAATATAATACTAATATATAAAAACAATATAATATCAGTATATTGCGTTATAACCATAATGATATATCTATAATCTATAATAGACAATAAAAATATCAAATACTTACCTTGAAATTTTTTTGCTCTTTCTGGAAATAGAAACAAAGTGGACCGCCAAAAATTTAAATTAAGAAATAACAAAAAAGATAGACTAGACATCTTGTATTACGATTTGAAATTTTATTAAAAAACAGTATAAATACAAAAATAATATTAATGAAAAATAAATTCTAATAAATATTTTCTATTCAATATCTGATTCATCAGAAGTATCATTTTGACTCTCGAATTCGTCTGATTCATTAGATTCTTCCTCATTTGCTTCCATTTCGACAATGTCCTGGATTTTCAAAGGAGTTTGATCTCCGATAAAACCTGTTGGTTTTAAGAAATCATCAAAATGCCAACCATAGTTTTCAGGATTTGACTTCGCACACTTTCTACTATTCAGGGTCCCATCACAAGCGACTGCGATGTTGGGTCCTTTATTATCACACAGTATACTTACCTCGGATCTCTCTGTCACACACTTCCACGCGCGTTGAAATTAAAAACCCCTAATCGGACCGGAATTTTCGCAGACAACCCTATATCAACGTGTTCGCAATTAAACAGCGCTTATGATGATATACATTTTTTTAAATTATCCAATCCAGTGAAAGTAACTGGCATCGATATACCTGTGTTTACCTGACAACCCAGTAGTTCGCCCAGGTAAATAGTAGACACCCCAACGGCTGCACATTCTATACGTTTCATACTTTCAGTCAGGACACAATTTTTTTATTATCCTGATGTTGCAACATTTAATTAAAAATAATTTTTCGAAAAATAATTAAAAATAGTCTGCCCAGGATTTTTTTAGGCAACCCATTTTTAATATGTTTTCTAATATACTAAATTCATGATAAAATATATTTCGTTCTATTATCAGCTCGGTGAAGGTCGACTTAGGTTCGGATCTTCTACTAATAGAAATTGGACAAGGAGGAAAACTTCTACTAGTTTATGTGAATAAAAATTATGAAAGATATTATTCCCAAATATCAAATGACAATGACACAATAATGTGTCCAATATGTATGAGTATGTTCTGTTATTGCCCCATTTCGATAAAAATTCACAAACTGATGAGTGTATTACTATGTGATCAAACTATAATCCATGAATGTGTTTCTTGTTGTTGTTGTTATGCTGTATCGATGCTGTCCACATCAAAATGGCAATTTCTCTGCACAAAAAGTTATTTTTTCCATACTGGAAACCTTGTACGTCAATTATGAAGATTTCACGAAGTCAACTTATTATTTACTATTTTGCAAAAGGATTTCTAAAAAACCAATTTGCAATGGGTACATACGGAAATGTTTTTGTTGTTCATACTCAGTTTGAAATTTGACGTTCATTCGACGTTTAATAGTGCCATCTATTGGTTCGTGATCTTCGCGAATAGACCGGGAGTCCGCAAATTGTTTTTGTGTCTCATTTGTTCACACTCAGCACTGCTGAGTAGTATAAGAACCCCCCAAACTCCACCTACAGATATGAGCTCGACAATGGTGGAAATAAGTATATGGTGCTCGTACTCGGCCATTTTTACGTATTGTAAACTTAAGAAAATTCACTCGACAGCCTACTATGATATCTCTACGTCACATCGAGCTAGACGTTGAATCTACTTTTTTCCGCTAGATGGTGATGCTGCTATTGCTGCTGTGACGAGTGAAAATAAAATGGCAAATGGCATTCTAGGTACGCGGAACGAATAAAAATCGTGGACCAAAGAGTGGGGGCCGCGTGGGTGAAATTGAAAATTTCGGGGTCTCGAATCATTACTTATCGTTCGGCGTATATGTCGCAAGTTACTGTGATTGGCAAAAAAGTTTGGGCGGATGGCATTGCCGAACGTGTGTAGGGTGGGTACGATGGGCAGTGGCGCTGTATGTTTTGGTGAAAAATTTTCAAATAAAAAATAATCATTTGTTTATGTTCGGCATTCTGTAAATTCAACAAATTATTCACAAAGTTGAAACAAAAAGCAAATGAAAGGAAAAAATGCCCCTTTTGCGAATATCCTTAGATCAGTTTGAATCGGGCACGTTTGGATGTTCGTTATGGCTTCTTGTTTCAATTCGTTATCACATGACGGAAGTATGTCCGGAATAATAGCAGCAAATCAAACACTGTGCCGTCGATTTGGCTCAGACTGAAGCATGGCACATGTAGGTTTTTGAAATCTACCATTCAATGGGTATCCGATGACATAATTCTTAATCTGGTTATCAAATCGCGAAATCAAATGCAAATTTCCGCACAGGCAAGTACAGTTTTTCATTTCGCTCAGGATATTGATAAGCACAGGTGCCTTTCGTTATCAGATGACGGTTGGAATTTGCAGTCGGCTCTTGGACTATTGGACTTTGTTTAACATAACAATGTCGGATTTACATAGTGGAAGGAGAAAATGGTGTGCCTACGCGCATATTATGTGACGTCATCTGGGATACCAAAATCAGCTGCTAGTCATAGACAGATACCGTTGCCATGGGCGTGCACAGTGAATTTAATCATGTTTATTGAAATTTCTATGAGTTTCTCGATCTGTTTAGAAATAATTCAATTTATATAAACAGGTACCTATATTTCTTCGATTTTACTATTTCATTGATGCTGGAAATTGTGATCTTGAGGTAATTCGCAATCGCAAATAACAAATACATACGAATTATCATGCATTGCCAATCCCATCTGAATGATCTACTACTGTGTCGATTCGGACAGATTCAAATTCAGCAGTTAACGACGTTGACGTTGCGTCTGCTCCGACATCGACAACAGGAGTATCAATTTTTGCCGTTTTTTTATTCAAATCTTTGCTGCAATTTATATTTTGTGAGAAATTAATAGTTTTGAATCATTTCTGACTTGATATTCGGAAGATGTTCTGAAGAAATGGCATCTTGTTTCAAATATTTGTGATTTTTTGTCAAGAACCTTACTTTCGCAGTTGTTTGGGAACATTTTGCATGGAAATGTTTTGAAGAAATACAGTCGTATTAAAAAAAAAGCGTACAAGTATATTGCAGGGAGAAATTAACGTCATCATATTTGCGTAAAAAGGGCTATCGGGAATGAATGTTTACCAAATGTTGACAGTAGAGTAATCATAGGTTCTCAAAAACACAAAGCATTGGCTGAGCCAATCTTACACAACGAGAACTAGAATGCCGAAATCTTCTATGTTTAATACTTGTACGCTTTTTTATTGAATACGACTGTACGTGCTGTAATATGAATATGATGATAATATAATAGGATAATACTTTGGAATGAGGATATAAGGAATATAAGGTAGGTACCATTATTTGAGTTTATATTCTGTCGGCAGCAAGCTCCCATCGTTTCATTAGGTCTCCATTCTTGGAAAAGCAGAAAAATTCAAAATCTGTGCCTTTAGTAGGTATGTTAGTTGGAATTTCCATAACCAGAAACGAAACAAGTGGGCATTTCGAAATTATTTCATACAATTGTAGTACTTATATAATATCTGAAGTTCGAGACATCAATCACCAAAACAAATAATAGCAATGACAGTTATATCCCAGCTGACGTCATGCGCAGAACAAGACGAGTTTGAGCTTTCTGTTGAGCACACCATCTTCTCCTTCCACTATGCGGATTTACCATTTTGGAACTCGTTCAGATTGGTCCAAATTTTGCCTCAATTTTTCCATGGAAAAACCCTCGACAGGACGTTTTTTCGACCAGTCAGACTTGGCAGAATAGTTCGTTACGCCTTCATTTGGTGAAAACAAAAAGTATACACATTTCTGTGCTTGTGCAGATTGGTCAAAATTGGCCAGTTTTTCACAACAGTTTTCCTTGAGTAACAATTAATATGGACCAGCCTGAGGTGGCAGAAACGCAATTTCGTTTATATAGTGGCATAATCTATCATATGAGTGAAATTCAAAACTTGTGCAGATCGCTAAACTTTTCTGGAGAAGAGACCTAACCGAGGAGAATTGAGAAGTCGAGGTCGATAGTCGATCCCAATTTTTTTTCTCTTAAAAAAAAGTGAATTCCAATAGGAGCTTCCAGCAGTGAATTTGAGTCGGGTGACTTGATTCGTCACTGGGTTGTTTTGAGAGCGATCCCTTAGCCTCTAAAATCGATTGTAGGTCGATTTTGATACCGACCGATAATATGATAATAGTAAACGGTAATGGACACGATTACATAAGCAATCATGAAGTTCTAAAAAATATTCGAAAGAATTTCAAAAAGTTTTGTACATAACATTTTGCAAATTAATGATTTTTTGAACATGACATATCAAAACTCTCGTCTAGTGCAAAAAAATACAAGTAGCTATTGTTTCATGGAGTAATTTAACTATCACCTATTTATGTAGTGAATCCAAATCTCCTATTGAGGAAATATTAATAATAATTGAGTAAGTGATTTTATTGATTTCATTACCTTGCTTAGCTTCAAGAATTCAGCGCTCGGTTTATCCCCCTGCTTCATGCCTTTCCTATTAGGGTCCTTGTCGATTTTGTAGCGAACAGAAAATGATCGATACCTATTGAAGTAATAAGGAAGGATAAAGAAACCGTTTCCATAACATTTATTCTAAAGTTATCTTATACAAAGTTGCCATCCGTAAACGAAACAGATTGAAAACTTAACAACTCTCAGAAGAATGATTGTTTCAATTGACACTCAAATACATCAAATATCCTATACCCAACTGTTATATTCATCATCCCTTTCCTTCACTTTACCTACTAATAGAATCTGAGTATTGAAAGTCCCATGAATGACAGGTATCACAAAGACAATTCAATGAAGAAATTAGTAATATGAATTGTAGTGAGGTTACTTTATGAAAAGTGACATTTTATGACCTGTCAACTGAGATGAAATTTCAAACTTTTTCCCCGTCACAGAAAAAAGCATTTTGTATTTGTATTTGTAGTCAGCACCAATGTATAAGATGAATGCACTGTGCTGATTAATCATTTAATTATGTTGATAATTACCTGTCACTCTTTTTTTCCTTGTCCTGTTCATTTTCATAAGCGTTCTGCGCCTGAATAAACTTCTTGTTGGCCTCTCTTTCGTGCTCCTTCATCTGCTCGATCCGTTCTTTTTTCGGTATCTTGAAGACCTCCTTGAGGTTGCTCCATTCCTCCAGCAGCTTGTTGGCCAGAAACTTGATCTCTTCTTCTTGATCTTGCACGGTCTTCAGATCGTCCTCTGTTTTTATATTCTCCTCTTTGACCGTGCAAGCTTCGCTGACAGTGTCTTGTTCCGTTTTAGGCGAGTTGCTGTCAGAGTCCAAAGGAGACGTGAGGTCCTTATCTGACGCCCACAGTTCCACTGTGGAAAGCACTTTGCTGTCTTGTAGCATCGATTTGTTCGGTATGGGAAGGACTGCTAGAGTTTGGAGCATTTCCAGCCTGGTAGAAAATCATTATGCAAATGCTATAGTGAATATAGTCCACGGATATCAGGATATTGATAGGGAATAATTTTATCCTGAGATATTGATTGATAGTATTTATTACCCCAAGAAACATTATTGTTTATAATAGGGATATATACAACAAAACATATATAATATAATAAATCAGAACAATAATAATTGCACAATTATTGTTTTTCATATCTTTGGCAGCTATCGCAAAAAACATTTTGGAGCAAGACATTTGGCGTTCAAATCGCTGCCAAATGTATAGCGTAGCCTCCTATTTCGGAGACTTTTGAGAAAGTATTGAGGATATCACTATACCGGGTGTCAACGAATTCATTAGACAAGCCATGGTTTCCAGAGTAGTTTTTCAATATTTGGTACTCTTCCATCACTTCCGATTTCACCGGAAACGACCCAAACTTTTGATTCTCAAATAGGACAACCTGTATTTTATTCCATCATCTACGAATCAACGACACCGGGTTTGATGGGATTATTTCAAACGAATACGAAGATATTCGCGTTCGAAATTTTCGAATGATGACAGAGGAAGAAGTTCCGATATTGCGCCGTCACACCCATTGAGCATGGAAATTTAGAACGCGAATAACTCATGATCGTTTGAGATAACCCTATCAAATCCGGTGTCGTTGAATTCTTTATGATAATCCCTAACCGATAATGGATTGATTTACAGGGTCTTCCATTTGTAAATTAAAAGTTGGAATCGTCTCCGATGAAAACGTGGACGTGATGGAAAAGTTTGAATATCATACCACCAGAACTCTGGAAACAATGGATTATCTAATGGATACCTGGTATACCTGAAATCACACTAATACCACAGGATAAAATTATTCCATATCAAGGTGAATATTGTCACTCACCTCATGGATTCGTATTTTTTGTTAGTGACTACCAACTGCTGGGCATCGATCATGTATCCGTGTATTAAACGCAGACCATGGTAATCTAAGAACAATCTGCGACAAGGTAGTTCGCCTCTTCTCAAAACTCTCAATAATTTTGCCCTTTGCTGTGGATCTTTGGCTCGGACTACCAATCGACTGAGTTTCAAAGTTTGCGCCTGGTTTTTCAAGCCGGTAGATACCAACATTTCGATTTCTTCATCAAGTTGCTAAAAAATTGAGTAACAAATATCAGGAAGATGTTTTTGTGATTCCTCATTTTTTAAATTTTTATGAACAATAATTATTTCTACACCATTTTCAAAATAACATATTCATTTATGTATGCCGGGTCACTACTGTAACTATTCAGTCTTTAACCCACGCCCCCTTATGACGTTACCTTGAGACGTTTTATATTACCGACCAGTTATTTTATTTTTGAAGTTATGTTCAATCACCAGACTGTTTTGTGTTGAAAGTGTTATCAATAATTCAAGTTGGATGCTAGTCAGTATAGCAGCAGGAACGGCGAAAAAGTTTTCATTTTCTTAGCATCAATATTTCAGAATTTTCCACATAAAATTGGATCAGTTCAGTCCAGAATATGTGAAGAAGTGCTACATAAATGAAGTGAAGGGACTGATTGAGAAAGTGAGTCGTCAGATGACGAAAACCAAGACTGGGACCAGATACACTACATGCTGAATGTGTCTTTGAAGTTTGAACGAACACAATACATTGCTAGTCCTGACTACCTATTTACTTGAAATCAACTGCTGGTGGATGTACGACTCATCCAGAAAATAAGTTCAGAAATCCGAAATCGTCAAAGCAGGGATATGTTTGGCAGAAATCTCCAGAGATCTCCAAAGAGATCCATGTAGAGAAGAAGTCTTCTAATGTCACATCATTCGAGTTATTCACGGTGTTCTTCGATCAAGAATTAGTTTTCACAATAGTAGAGCAGATAAATCTATATTATATGTATAGAAAAACCTTTTTTCCTGCAATCGTATGCTAAGAGAGTACTTCACGTTCCCAACACGGTACACAAAGTACAACTTCTCAGCCGTTGCCCATAGCAACGACTGTCAAATCAAACGTCATTTTGACTTTGATATTCCGGAACCACGACAAATTCAAGGTTACTCAGTATCAGATCATGGTCAGATCATATTTTCGTTTTGTCAATAACTGTCAAAATGGTGTGTATACCATGACCGCGAAACTTTTTGGCGACCTCAAGATCATTTTGCCTCGCCGGAAACGGTCTCGGCGATAACTTTCGGCAGACCAAAAAGTTACTTTGCGGCCTAGGAATAAAAATAATTATATTTGATTCTGACTGAAAATGAACTATTCATTATCTTCGGAGTTCTCCTAGCATCAGGATATGAAAATATCCCAACGAACGGATGAACTGGTCATCAGATAATGATGAATCCAAAATTATTTCAAGAAGTATTTGTTAGCACTGACATCTTTCCCAAGTGCGATAAACGGTTATTCCCAAAATACTAGTTAATTTAATTCTATTTATGCAATAATTGTTATGTTATGTTATGTTATCAGGTGTACAACGTCCCTTTTAAGGAACACTCAATTTTTTTCTTCCTAATGAATTTTGGTGAATATGACTATTTCATGGATAGGAACATGTAGTATATTTGAATTCAAGTGGTATCAAGTTTCAATATAATTAAATTCTCGATCTGTTTTGAGAGGAAAAAATCGATTTACATAGGCTTGCGCCCTGAATGAGAATAATGCTACTCATCTAAAGAAAATCATTATGCCCTTCTGGTGAAATCAGAAATAATCCAAAACCTTAAAAGCTAAATAATATCACATGCAATATTCCACGTTTTACAAACTAGTCATTTGACGAAATCTCGTCATAGCCGGTTTCATTGAATTTTGTGATAAATAACTCTATTTCAAATTGAACATATATGTATAATATGTAATGAATTCAATGTCATCAGCAGCACAAATGATACCAGATTCGAAATCATTCTATCAAGTGGTTCATTCACGAGAAATGCAGTTTGTACTGGAGTTGGTGAGACTTATCTCAACAACTGCTGTTTTTAAATCCTTCAGGAACTAGTTAGAAATTTTGCGTTAATTGAATCAAATAAAGAACTTACATCAATTTCTTCAAACAGTTCAACTCTCGGCTTCTTTTTCGTTATTTTTCTCTTTACAACCGGCACAATAGCAGGAGTAACACCCGCTATCGTTTCTTCAGATATCTTATCTTCATCCTTGACCGATATTTTTCGTAAATCTGCAGATTTCTCAAATTCAGTATCTTCAGTTTCAACCTTGATATCCGATGATAAAACCCCTTCCTTTATAGCTGCGGGTATAGCTAACGAGGCATCCTGAACTGTGCCCACAGTTTCTTCTTCATCTTCATCTTCATCTTCCTCATCAGAATCCGGTTCCTCGCCAAGCCAACCTCTGCAGATGGATGCTCCACAAAAACACTTTTGGGCCTCTTTACTGCGTCAAAGAAATCCAAAATATAAATAGTTAGATATTCATTAAGAGTCCGACCTGGGTTCAACATTATATTCTCTACATACAGTTAATCTAAAAAAACGTCATTGATGATTGATGATTTTTAACCAAATGAAGATCTCTGTCACAAAAACCGCCAAATGGCGATTAAAATCGTTACAGGTGTGTTTTAAGTTATTCTAAATGAGAATCCGCCGTTGTTTGTGTTCCCCATCGAATAAAATTCAAATCTTTCAAAATTGAAGGGAAATTCGCAAAAAATGAGAAGTAAAATATATTTTACTTTTAATGACAGCCTTGAATTGAAATCGCCCACTTATTGAATAAACTCTTCGTATGCTTACTTAACAAAACAATTTACGAAGATAGATCTAAAATCAAGTTTTTACAGGGGTGAGTCCTTAGCGGCCTCGGACAAATGTATTCTCAACATTTGAAATTCTATTGGAAGAAATACGTCAAAACAGTATTTCAACAAACTTACCCATATCGCTGGAACCTGTAATCGAATGTAACTTCTTCCCCAGCAAGAATTGTCCTTGTACTAAAGAATCCTATCCTAAGTTCGCCATTAACAGTCCACTTTTGTGTCTCTGCATTTGGATCACAGGAATGATTGATGAACCTTGAAATATTGCCTGAAATAACAGTCCTTAAGAACTGGATAAAAACATTTCTATCAAGGAACTCAAGTGTATGAATCATTCCATGGAGGAATTAAGACACTTTGGACTAGTGAAACTCATTCTTCACAAAGTTCAATTTTCAACGTAGTGATATTTTGAGACAAATAATACAAGAAAAGAGGAGATGAAGTCGCAGAAATTTAGAGAAAGGAAAAATAATATTGTTTACCTTTCATGGTGGCATCGATAATGGCATCTGCTCTAAGGGCCATAAAGTAGTAATGAATATTTTTGTCTTGGGAATAAACTTCAGCCCTTTTATCAAACTCATCACTATTGAGAACTTCTCCAACGTATTCTAGGATGAATTCGCCACTAAAAAGTCACAATAGAAATTACTGAAATGAACTGGAATATACAGGGTATTCCAGTTTTTGTTCATTGAGATATGCAAAATAAAAGGACTTCTCCTAATGAACATACATTAAAAAATGTGATGTGATTGAGAAAATAAGAAGACTTTCCTCAATGAACATACCTCCAAATCTTTAAATGACATATGGCAGTCAATGATACCTAAGTTCAAATGTCTTTCAATTATTCCAGTCTCAGCAAAATTACAATTCAAGAACATTGTTCGTTTTTATTTTCTTCAAGAAGGCTTCCTTGATTTTTCTAGTTAGAGAACTCGATGCCATAAGAGAGTTGAAGATAACAAACTAGTTCACTGTTGCAAACCGTTTACTTCTCACAGATATGTACATTTTTCAAATAATTAATGAAATTCACGATATTCTATAACATGAAATACGCGGCACAACGCGTGACGACATACAGGGTGTAAATTTGAAAACTTTCAATGCGAATATCTCGCGAAATAAAAAAGTTAGAAAAACGCCGCTTGGCACAAATGCTAAAGTGTTAGGAAGAACTAGAACGACCATATTTCAGTGAAGGAATGAGTCACCCTGTCAGCGCGACACACACCAACTTTGAAATGTCAAATGGCACTACCTCTTTTGTGATACCTCAAATGAACGGTTTCAGTCAGTAGTATTCACCTGTACAAGACTTTTTTTCCACCCACTACAGGGTGTACGAAAAACATAAAGTCGAGGGTCTAAATTTGAAAACTTTCAATGCGAATATCTTGCTAAATAAAAAAGTTAGGAAAACGCCTTCTGGCACAAATGCTACAGAGTTAGGGGAAACTAGAACCACCATACTTCAGTAAAGGGATGAGTCACCCCGTCGGCGCGACACACTCCATCTTTGAAATATCAAATGGCACTATCTCTTTTCTGATACCTCAAATGAATGGTCTCAGTCAGTAGTATTCACCTGTACAAGACTTATTTTCCACCCACTACAGGGTGAACGGAAAACATAAAGTCGAAAAAAATAAAATGCCGATATATTCCAAGAGATGTGTTCCAAAATATCAGAATGGCATTTGAACATCGATTATACTATTGCTTACAACAGAATGAAATGCATTTTGAACATCTGATCAAATAAATTACACAATTCATTTTATTTTATTCGACTTTATATTTTTCGTACACCCTGTAGTGGGAGGAGAAAAAGTCTTGTACAGGTGAATACTACTGACTGAGGCTGTTCATTTGAGGCATCACAAAAGAGGTAGTGCCATTTGACATTTCAAAGTTGGGGTGTGTCGCGCCGACGGGGTGACTCATCCCCTGACCGAAATATGGTGGTTCTAGTTCCCCTTAACTCTTTAGCATTTGTGACAAATTGCGTTTTTCTAACTTTTTTCTTTCGCGAGATATTCGCATTGGAAGTTTTCAAATTTACACCCTGTATACCGTGATCAATCTAATATAAACCCCTACTGTAGAAGTGAATTTTTACATCTATGTGGAATGTGGTATATGGCGTAAATTCGACTAATATGTACATACTAGAGTCACTGGATGGTATTAGTAGATAAGAGTTCGGACACAACTGAACTTTTGTCCTTTTCTATTTTGTAAATTACAATGCTTGAGTGTGTACTGGTGTTCAGCTAATGTTGAGTGTTTGATATAAAATAATCAGTAGATCATGATGTTTTTATTCACACTTCAAATCAATCTGTTATTTGACAACTGTCACCTAACATCGTGGTAGACGCCAACCATTCCTATCAATAAATATATAATGAGTGAACACTACATTTCCTCCACACTTTAAATATTAACTATCTATGCCGGAGTTACTAATATAACTATTCCAATGGTATACAAAAAATATGAACAAAACAAAATCTTTGAGGTAGTCTGGGCGCTTTGGTGATCTCTTATTTTCAACGATTCTGTTTTCGTCACCAGACAAGCAGATCATTTTTCTGTCAAGAAAATTAAATCAGATATTGGTAAAAAATCCATCTATCACAATGGAATGATACAATACAATTCACTACCAAATAACTTGAAGCTGATTAATAGGATTGAAAAATTTAAAAGAGAATTCAAGAAACATCTACTCCTGTAATATTGACATCTTATCTCATTTTTATAGTTTTCAATTGTGTACCTAACAGCTGAGTCAATTGAGGATCATATTCATTTGAACTTGAAAAAAAAAAAAAGATTCTTTTTGAGTGTGAGTCTTATTTTACTGCCTTCTTTATTTTATTTTGTCAAATATATTTATGTATTCACTATGTTCCCTGCTATAAACAAATGTTGTTTCTTGGGAATAATAAAGTTGATTGATTGATTGATTTCTTCTTGTTCTTCAACCTCAGTCTGATAATGATTCTGGGGTAGGCGTTCCTCTCTCTTCTTTTCTTCAATTCTTCGAGGTTCTGTTTCCATCTTATCACCCTGATTCGGCACTGCAGATGTTGAGCTTGGAGTATGCTGTAGTTGAGTTCTAGGCAATTGAGTATCTTTATCTGTTTTCGAAAATGATCCATCAGCCTGAGAAGAATAAAATCTCTTGAAAAATGAGCTATTCCTGACGATCTGCTTTCCTTCTCTCTCCCCAGTTATCTGGTTTCCTTATATCCTCACCACTTCATAAGGTTTGGGATCATAGGGAGTACTGAATTTATTCAATTTAGGCTGCTTGCACAAAAGAGTATCTTCTATGCTTAGCAGATGATTTTTAGCTGATCTTCTTTTGTCAGCGTAATTCTTTTCTTTTTGTTCATTCCTTTCATTCACTTCTTTCATCTTATCTTGACCATCCTCTTCGTTGAATAAAATGGGTAGTGTAGTTTTAATAGGCCTGCCGAAAATCACTTCGAAGGGCGCCATTTCGGTTGTTGAGTGCTTCATAGATCTATAATTCAGTAAGAAATAAGTTCTTCTCTGACATTTTTCTTCTCGAACTCAGAGCTCAAAACAATCTTCTTGAAGGTCTTAACACTGGGTTATGCGAGGCCGTTTGCTTCAGGCCAAAGCGGAGTAACTTCGTGATGATTGAAATTCATCTCGTTAGCGAATTCGTCAAACTCATAACTATTGAATGGTGCGCCATTATCGCTTCTCAGTTTATCTGGGATACCAAACTGTGCAAAAATGTATCTTAGTTTTCTTGTTACTGTTTTCGCATTCAAATTTGAAATAATTTCTACGATCGGAAACTGGCTGTGCTCATCAACTAATAAAAGTAGATATTCTCCCGTATGGTAGGGACCAGCAAAGTCTATATCAGGTACCTTCCAAGGTCTCTTAGGCAGTTTTGTCATCACTAACATTGAATACTCGTCAGGTATGTTAACTAGTACCTGTCTGATTGTGTCCTGAAAAATTTCAGCTGCTGCGTTAACGCCAAAATTCAATCGTTTATATCGGAAAAGACCCAAATGCGTTGAAAATGTTGTGAGTTGTAAGAGCTCTAGATTCTTCATCCAACACTAACTGATGATACCCATCGTTGAGTTCAAGCTTACTGAAGAACTTTGTACCATTTAGTGAAATCTATCGTTAGTGTTACATGTCTGATGCGTTTAATCGCCTCGTTTGGACATCCCATGTCTATGCAGAGTCGTATTACCTTGGGATCATGTGGTTTTGGTACAATAACTACCGGAGATACCCAGGGTGTTGGTAAGTTCACTTTCTCAATGTTGCACTATCGATGAAGCAGAAAAAAGTTTAAAAAATCCTCAGCCGTTTAGAAATCAACTAGGGGAGGGTGTTTTTTTGGTCACAGTGTGTACTGGTTAATTCAAATTCGAGGGCCATCATTAGGATCTCGGAAACTAAGGAGATACGAAGATAGTCAAATTAGGACAAAGTAGTTCCGCGTTTATGTCACTAAAAATATGCCATCGAGAAATTTTTTAGATTCCGAGTATTTCCGGGGGTATACGAAATAACAGAAATTTTGGTAATTCATTTTTGTTTTCTTCTAGCGTTATTTTTTGTTTACATTTCCACCGTCTCCCTGCTATACGATGACATTTTCAGATTCACTATTCGCGGTAGCGATGATATAAATACTACAGAAAAACATGTCTAACTTTCAATCTGAGCCAGGAATTAGGCATATTTTCCGTAGTTTTTATATCATCGCAACGTCAGATGATGACCTTGACTACCGCGAATCCGCGCCACCATCATAATAGTTATTTGTTTTACTAGGCAGAAAAGTACAACATTTAATGCCGCGGCTGACGTTTCATAGTCTAGGCGTAGCCGAGGCTAGGAAACCAGCCAAGGCATTACAATTTTCTAGTGGGGTAGCACTCCTACCCCGCGCCGGCGACTACGGAATTTCTATGGGCCACGGTCATGAAGGTTCACGAGAAATTTCATCACGAAAATTGAACAAAAACCATGTCAGAATTGCTACAGTGTAGAACTTTGATCGTTTTTGGATATCAGGGAAAACAAAGTCTCTTGAGGCTCCTGATCATATAACAATATGTGCTCAATCTGGAACATTTGGATATGATCCTTGTAGGTTAGCTTTGGATGCAGAGTAATTTCTAAATATTCAATAATACATGTAGCTTCTTTTAATTTTTGTAACTAATATATTATGTAGATAGAGATTTCAGTCCAGTGTAACATTCCTTGTATATAATAAGCCACATGAAATATGTTCTCATAACATTCAATTGTAGTTCATTCTGAGTACAATACTCATAAAACTCACATGAAGCTACATTACTATTTTTGACTAGTTGTTCAATATCATTGTAAGACTTAAATTTAATTTATATTTAATTTAATTTAACAGCTCTATTTCCCATAAGAAATGGACTAAATTAAATATAAGTTAAATGAGATTCTCTGAACGCATCTTAGTGAAAGAAATGCTTGAACTCTCAAGATAAGTTAAAATTAAATATAAATTAAATATAAATTAAATAAAAATAATTTCTATGAACTGACCATTATTTTATGAGCAGAGTTGCAGTAACTGCAAACGTCAGATCTGAATATAATAAAGAATAGCGGTTCCAATATGTTTACTTCTTTGAACCAAAAATTCTTATGCTATAGATTATGATGATAAACTCTACCACCTCTCTCATCTATATCATTAAACCTTCAACACAAAAAACCAGAGCACAAAATCAAGAAAAAAATCAACAAAAAACCTACTAATGGTTTAAGATGAGATAAAGAATCAGGTAATCTTACTAAGGAATATTAGCAGCAGCTCTGAGTCCTAATCCTTTCTTGTCTGTATTGAAAACTTCCACAGGAGCAAACTGAGTTTTTTGGAACCTCTTATTTGTACATCTATCGCCCACCTGACACAAATTTCCACTGAAAAACAGCATGAAAATTAGTTATTTGAGACTTTTATGAGTATTTGTATTACCATTCAATCAAGAGTAATCTATTCAAACAATCTTCTCCACAACCATATTCATTCCCCTCGATTTCTTCACTAGTAAGAAAGCAATCACATGTCATTTTTTTTGCTTCTTTGCATGTCATTCTATCAGTTTTGTAAGAATTTTCTTTTAAATGCACAAACTGCTTCAGTCTTCCTTCTACCACAGGATCTTTTGCAGGCATTTTGGGTTTATCATAAATTTCCATTTTTGCCATTTCACTTTCAGTTGAACCCAATATTGATAGATTTTGAGAATCTGGTATGTTATCAGCTGATTTAGTCCATCTACTTTTTCTTTCAGCAATTGTTATCTTTGGGGATGCCACTGGGGTGCTTCTGCCTGATTCTGTAATAATTGAGCTATTATCAGAAACATCACAATCCATTAAATTCAATGAGGTTTCTGACTTGGATTTGACAAGGCCCCTGCCAGTTATTTTCTTAGTTGAATTTGAATCATTTATTGACTTAATTCTTGAGGATCTTCTCACCTCTGTATCATCTGTGTCATTATCAGATTTAGTGGAATCAGATTTTCCAAATTTCTTTTCCTTCTTTTCAGTTTTGGGCTTTTCTTTTTTATCATTTTTGTTATTAGTTTTCTTAGGAGCAGGTGATGGATTCTTTTTAATCTTGGGTTCTTTAGATATTTTTTTCTCTCTGGGTCTGATTTCTTTGACTTTGGCTGGTGTTACTTGCTTTGGGACTTTCTCAAATTTGGGAGATTTAGTCTGTTTTTCAGTGGATTCTATTTGAAGCTTTGGGATACTTATCCTAGGGCTTTTACTTTTTTCTGAGAATCGTTTCACTTCCTTTGCCTTTATTTTTTCATTATATTCTTCTGATGAACTATGTGGTAGAAGACTCTCTTGAAAGGAACAATTTGAGGAAGTGTCTGCTTTAAGACTTTCACAGTCCTTCAACCCATCTTGTAAACTGAATCGAGCTACATCATTCACAATACTTTGATATATAGACATGTCACCTAGATGCATTTTTGCTATTTTATTTTCAACACTTATGGCAACTTCTTTCTCCTCAACCATTTGCACAGTATGCTCTTCTAATGAACTTGAACCTACTCCTCCACTATCAATGCCAGTAGCAATATCATTATTTTCACCAAGTGTTTGAACTGTTGCTGCTTCTTCCAAATTCATTTTTTCCATTTGATTCTCCATACTTCCATGATCATTTACTAGTTGCTTTGGATTTATTATAGACAGCATATCTTCATCACCTTCTTTTCCCTCAGTAATTTGATCAACTGGCAGCTGTTCTTCCATAGCAACTGCACTGGCACCCTGGATGCTCAAAGTAATATTGTCATCCTCCTTTAAGTCATCTTCTAGTATAGCAATGATGTCCTGTTTTTTTTGTAATTCCAATTCATGCTTTAGGTTTTTAGTTTCCACAGTCATTTGAGCATCTGGCACCTGCTTTTCCATAGTATCTCCTGTATTGCCATCCTGAATCTTAATTGTAGCACTTTGATCCTCTGTAGAATCATCTTCAAGTATGGATAAAATATCCTGTTTTTTTGATTCCAAATCATGAATAAAGTTGATTTTATTTTCTGAGCTATCTGAATGCCTTTGGTCTGCCACATCATTATCTTTTGTTGAAATTGCATTTGGTTCCTTAACAGTCATTGGAATTTTTGACATATGTGATTCCATAGTAACCTGTTTCTGAGCCTGTTTAATTATGTTAACATTTTGATCCTCTGTTGAATTATCTTCAAGTATGGATAAAATATCCTGTTCTCTTTGGAATTCCAAATCATGAACAATTTTGTTTTCATTTTCAGAGGTATCTAAATGCATGTGGTCTTCCACAACATCATCATCATTTCCTGAAATCACATTTGGTTCTGTAACAGTCATTTGAATTTCTGGCATCCCTGCTTCCACAGTAACTTCTGCACTGTCACTCTGAATCCTTGTGATAACATTTTGATCTTCTCTTGAATCATCTTCAAGTATGTTTAAAATATCTTGTTCTTTTTCATCAATGATCTTGTTTCTACCTTCTGACATGTCTGCATGTATTTCAACTTCTACTGCATTATTTTCTTTTTCCAGGTCATTTTCTTCCACTATTTCTTCTTGAATTTTCATACAATCTTGACTAATAGCAATCTCATTGTCTATCAACTGTTCTTCTATCATAGATAGATTTTCAAAATTAGAACTACTAGAGCCTTCATTGATAGGTCTAACTTCATCATTACGATTTTCTTTAGAGAAAAACCTTCTAACCTCTGCATCATTTGAATCAACTGTGGACATTGATCGACTTTCTTCTGAAGCAACATCAGCTCTTGTGTCTATTACCTCTGAAGCTGTCATGTCTTCTTCATTTTGTATGGAATGAGAATCTTTGTCACTGACTAAAATTGGTGTGTTATTGGCAGTATCTCTGCTTTCATCTGAAACAATTTGAGGTTCACTGCTTGGGTCACTGTCAATATTAGAGTCTGTTATAATCATTTCTTCAGCAGTGTCAGGAACAATTTCTTCAATAACACAGCCAACAACAGTATCATCTTCAAATGACACTTCCATTGATTCTTCAACATCAACTGAGCTTTCATGTTGAATATTTTCTGATTCTTCAAATGGCATGTTAACAAGTGAAATAGAATTTTGCAATACTTCCTTCTCAATTGAATTGTCCTCAATAATTTCCATAGACTGGAATCTTTTTTCATCTGCTACATTTGGGCTGATCATTTTCATAGATTCAGACCCTCTTTTATCCACTACATTGGTATTGCTGGTCCCATCTTTTCCTATTATTTCATTCATATCTTCTGCACCAAATTCTAAATTTTCATAATTCTTACTCTCTGCAGAATGTCTGCTACCAAATCTTGAATCTTCTGTAGTGTGCTCCTGACTTTCATCTTCATCATCCCAGTCTTGCAAAATTTGCAGCAAAGCTTGGTTACTTTCATCTGCATCCTTTGTTGATTCTATTTGTATTGATCTTGAGGCAATTGCTTTGCTAAAAGAATATTTTATTTTTCTTGTGAATGACTCAGATTTTGAAGGTTCTGTCACATATTCAGGTCTCAATTCAGATACTGGCTTTGACAAAGCATCTGTATCAGAAGAATCTGTTCTCTCACTTCTGTCCGTCCTTTCATATTCAGAACTAGAATCAGAAATTAATTCTGAACTTGAATGTTCTGCTTCAGCATTATCTTTTATATGGGATCTTGTATGAGATTTTATTTTAGTTGTAACTTTTCTAGTTGAAGGAATTTTCTTGGCAATACCTCTACCTTTCAATTTCGGGATTTCTATTTCATGACTTGAAGATTCTGTCACTTTCTCAAAAATCAACTCAGAACCTGACTTAGTAAAGGCATCTGTATCAGAAGAATCTAGTATTTCACTTCTATCTGCCCTTTCTGATTCAGAACTAGATTCTAGAATGAATTCTAAACTTGAGCTTTCTGATTTAGCATTGTTCTTTAATTGGGGACTTGATTCAGCAAAAGCTTTTTTATTTGGAGGGACTACATTGGCAATACCTTTGCCCTTCTTGGTTCCACTTAATTTTGGTATTTGTATACTAATGATGTGTTTTTCAATCAGAGTTCCTGCCACTTCTTTGAATCCCAATTCAGATCCAGACTTAGACAAGGCATCTGTATCAGAAGAATCAATTCTCTCACTCCTGTCTGTCCTTTCTGACTCTGAACTAGATTCCAAAATGAATTCTATACTCGAATGTTCTTCTTTTGCATCAGAGCTTGTATCAGTAAGTTCTCTATTTAGGGGGCTTGTCTTGGAGATACCTCTACCTCCTTTTTTGCTTCTACTTGATTTTGGTATTTCAATGTTAACAATGCTTTGCCTTCGAGTTGACCGGGTTGAAACCGTCCCTACTACAATTGGATTAACTGGTAACTTTTTCTTTTTTGGGGGCATATCTATACCAAAAACACTACAAAGTTTTTGTATCTATTTTCTATAACCTATCATATCAATCAAGGATAAGAAAGCACTACACGAATCCAAATATTTTTGTGACCAAGAAAAGTTTCGAAATATGAAAATATTTATATTTCACTTCCAAACTAAATTTTGAATTCTTTATTTGACTGGTGTGCTTACGAGTGAAAAAATAGTATTTTCATTTTCCCAAAATACATTTGTTACTGTCAGCTGTCATTGTCAAGTTGTCAACAGTGTTGCCACAAGCTATTTATTATTGTCGTACTTCCCAAACCAATGCGATCATGATAGATCATTTCCAATCAACTTTGAATAATGTAGGTGCTCTAGCAATACTGACATCTACTATTTTCTTCACACTATAGTTATTTAATGAAAATCAAGAAATAGTGCAAGCGGAAGAGAAGTGTATGAGTATGAGCAGAGAGAAGAGAAAAGGGAAAAATCACCGCTGTCAAACGTTGCCAAGGGTACTTAGAAACCAAACCTCAAATCTGTTCCTTTCTCAGATTATTGATCATTCTAGAACACGTGATTTTACATGGATTCTTGGGGGGCACACAAATTATCTGTTAGGTTACCTTTGATGAGCATTGCCCAGGCCGTCCCTCTGCCACATCCACAATATAATAACAGTTTCACCAAAAAAATCATGAAATTCTTTCTGGTTCCAACTCGGATTCCAAGGAAAATGATCCCACTAATTCTGGTTTTCTATGACAGATCTTGACAAAATACAATATTTGCCCCTCAGCAACCTGTCAAATGACGTAATTGTGGAATGATTAATTGTTACGTTACATTATTTTGCGATATATCTGTAGCGGGGAAAATTTGCTTGAGGGGAGCGAGAGGGTGAATTTATGTTCCAGAGGGGTAGAACTATCACGTATGGGGTAGCATTGGCTATTGGGGTAGCTGGGGTAGCTATTGGGCTATTGCAAAGCTGGTTGTTGAAGGTGATGATGAATAAAGACACATTATTATTATTATTATTATTATTAACTGTCATTGGCAAGTGTCAGCTGGTCAGAACAGCATGAGTTTGTTTTGTCCAAAAGTATTCTGTGTCCAAACCATTGTCCAAACCTTGGACTGGAGGACTTTACAATTCCAACAATTTATCATGCGTATGAATCGAAAAAAACATCGAACTGTGGAATTCCGCTAAAATGTTAATCGAAATCCATTGAACTGTTGTTTCAAAATGCATCCTTTCAATTTGCTGCTGATTACTGATGAAAACGTTGTTGAAATTGTGTAGCGAGCATCAAATGATTGAAGCATCAATAATTCTCAACTCAGCAGCTTTCAATTTTCCTTCTGGCTGTTGCCACGTATAACGTTAACGTCACGTCATCGGGTTCTGTCAATAGTTAGTAGCTGAGGTAGTGGCCAGTACAGCCAGCAATGTGCTTTTGCTCCATACCAAAAGTTATCTATCTACAAGGCAATAATCGTCATGTTTCAATATAGAATGTAAAAAAGAATTAATTAATTGGGCATCACAGTGAGAAGATGTATGATAAAAATATACAGGAATTATCCAGTAAGTATGGAAGAAAAAAAATTGTTCTTTTCTGTTTTTTATATGGATTTTTAGGCGTTTTCAATTTATAACAGCAAATCGTGATGATTATTAAAATCTACTGTTCAGTTTTGATGATCTACTGTTTTTTCCCCACTCATCTACTTCTTCAGAAAATTTTCATCTGGCAACACTGGTGATCAGTTGATAAGTCAGAGTCAAATAAACTGTCAAGAACTCAAGACTTCAAGACGTCAAAAATTTATAAAATCAAATAGATTAAAGTGTTAGATAATTCTAGAGATAATTTACTGATTTTAAACCCACTCGAGTTATAGTTTCCATTTGGAGATAGCAACAATGTTGAGAAATTTGTTGCTGGCTGAAAACGTAGTCTTGAAAAATAGTCCAAAGGTAGGCTCTTCAACAACCTTGAACATAATTTTGCAGATTGTGCCCTATTTTTAACTATTATGTAAAACCATTTTATTCTGGCTTAACTATAAAATATTTTCCTCAGATCCTTGGTTCTGTACCAAACAATCGTTGGCAACCAAATAAACAGCAAACAAGAAATTTGAATGTTCATGAACACATAAGTTATACTCTTTTAAAAGATGCTGGAATTACTGTCCCTAAATTTGGGGTGGCCAAAACGAAGCAAGAGGCTAGACAAATTGCTGAGAAATTAAATACCAAAGAAATGGTTCTTAAAGCACAGGTCCTAGCTGGAGGACGTGGTAAAGGAAGTTTCAAAAATGGTCTCAAAGGTGGTGTTCTTATGGTTTATTCGTAAGTCATTCTCCTTTTGAGAAGTATGCACACTTGATTCTGATCAATACACTTTATTCATTATAGGCCTAAAGAAGCAGAAGATATTTGTGGCCAAATGCTGGGTCAATATTTAGTAACAAAACAAACTGGAGAGAAAGGTAGAATATGTAATGCTGTGATGGTAGCAGAACGTAAATTTCCTAGGAAGGAGTTCTATTTTGCAGTTATGATGGAAAGAGCATTCAATGTATGAACAAAACATTCCTACTGTCTTCATTTCATTTCAACTGATGCTTTCAGGGTCCTGTTATCATAGCTTCTTCACAAGGAGGTGTAAATATTGAAGAAGTAGCTGCAGAAAACCCTGATGCTATACTGTATGAGCCTATTGATGTTATGAAAGGCTTGACTAAAGAGCAAAGTGAAAAAATAGCTGTTAAGGTTGGCCTACAGTCACAAAAAGAAAAAACTGCTGATATGCTCATGAAAATGTATGACCTCTTCATAAAAAAAGATGCATTGCTCATTGAAATCAACCCATATGCTGAAGATGTAGGAGAAACATGTAAGAAATGAAAATTAATTTCTTCAATGTCATATATACCTACATGTTATAAAAAGCCTGCAGATATCTGAATTTGGTTTGGAAGTTATAGGAAAATTTGTCTCTGACATTGAGAACATGAATCTGCTTCAAAGGGTTCTCCTATATCCATAAATTCTACTGCATTTTGAAACAGTTGATGATTTGGCTGTACCTGGTTAGGAGAATTACCAGGGGTATTTCACCAATGTGGATTTTTTACAGCAATACCCATTTATTTACAGATTAAATCACCACAATTCATTTTACACACTCACAACTCCCCTTGAATTCCCTGGATTTCCCATAAATTCTCATATTTCCATTAAATAATGAAGATTTCTAATTCCCTCAATTCCTCATAAATCCCCATCAATTATTGTACATCAAAGGTTTCATCTGAAATTCTTTTTGAAGAATTATTCATCCATGGCATTTGTTTTCAGATCAAATCTAGTATTTAAAATTGAATGAGATAATTCCAAATAAATATTTGTACTGTATGCTTTGAAGTCCCCAGAATGATGTTTATCTGTCTTCAAAAATTAAGTGTAAATAACATGAATTAAGATTCATTGACCTGATTTGTGAGCAATAATAATATCTGGACAAATAAATATTGATCTGATTTGAATTTATCTAAATAACTTTAAAAGGTCATTTGTCCAGAATGCTGAATGTTAGACAAAACAAATTGACTGATAAGGAATTACCCTAATAGAATAGTTGTGTAAGCTTTCAATTTTAATTTTCCAAATAAATTTACAACAATGAGTCATTCCAACCACCTGGTACCTCCACTGGTTGTCTGCAATCTGACTAAAGCTATCTGCCCACAGTTTCCATCACCATGCACTGAAATGGAAATTTAAATCTAACATGGGTTGAAGATAAGATAAATACCCTATTATCCATACAACAGATATACCATTATTCATACAAAATGTTCTTTACATAAAAATAATGTGAACAGAGAAAACCAATTCATTCAACTGAACCAAATCCAAATTTTCCACTGGTTGGTATATTCAGCCAAACATCAAGATAGTAGCTTTCATCTGCAGAGTGTTTACTTTACAGCCATGATCGTCATGGGCGTCGCCACTGCAGGGCAAGGGGGGCCGTACCCCCCTCCCCTGGCTCCTGTCTCGTGTATTAACAAATTATATTTATTCATGCTTGGACATTGAAAGTGCACTTTCCCATCTGGAAATTTCATTACCTGAGAATTTTTCTATGTTATAATGTGTGTAGTATTTGTTTTCATTATAGATTTTCGCGGCCGGCTATATGATTATTGATTTTTTCTTTAATTTTCCATAGATTCTTAGTAACACTTATGTCAGAAAGGTAATCAAAATAGTTCCTTGAAATCAAAATCTACGTCCATAGTCAGAATTTTGAAATTTGGTATTTTGTTAGATTCTCAAGTCATAGTAAATATTTTATAACTCTAATTATATTCTAAATTTGTCTTTCAGCAAACAGGGCTGAACTAAAAATATGAAAATTTAATTCAAGAATTTTCATACCTTCTACACACTGTATCAATATCAAGTGTCCAATATCACATAACCTTCAAGAATTAAAATATTTCGAATTCATCGTCAATATAATATGTAAGAAAGTATCTTTAATTTTGGGGTGATTAATTTTCAGCTTATAAAATTCACTAAAATATGTCCCTGGTGATACCCGTGAAAAAACATAACTTTCAACTTCAACAAACAGTTACACAGATCATTGCTCTGGAAGTACAATTTCAGCCCCTCCTTGAAAATCCGCAGCTGAATTCAAAATATATAGGCACCTGGCAATTAATTAGACAAATGTATATATGTTTTTTTGATGGGTTGAGCTGTGTCTCGGATCCCGTGGACAATACACCTAATATTCAAATTATACAGAACGGTTTATTTTTTTCTATTCTATTCAGCATTTCAATAAAATAAAATTTTGTATGGACTAAAATTTCAATGGGAAATACCACGAGGCCAAAATGATTTAAATTTGTATTCAGGGATGTATTGAATTGTGGATGTGCCAATTATTTCCCCAACTCTTCTGTATCCAGATTTTTTGAATACATTGTTATCAAAACATGAAATTTTGGTCCATCCATCGCTGATATTAGGTAATGAAAATATTCTATTTGAATCAAACTATAATTTTCAGCGAAGTTGAAAAGCGCGAAATCAACAAAAATCGAATGATTTAAATTAACAGATTTTTTCAATTCCCATCTTGATTAAAATCTAATCATTATTGCTGTTAAAACAAGTCGCCGAAGCTGATAAATCATCAGGAAATTCAAAGAAAGGAAGATAGTTTATTTAAAATCAAGTGTTTACATACATTATGTAAGTGTAAAAACATAATTATTCCGTGAATATTCATAAATTAAACTCAAACAAACAGTTTAGAACAACAAAAATAGTCTATAGTTTATCATTACCTGTAAATAAACTGTGAATATAGATAAGAAATAGTTTTGGGCGAATAGAAAAAAATTATGAAAAAGTGATTTCTAAGTTAATTATTTCCTTATTTAAGAAAAAAAATCAGTATAAATAAAGAAACACGATTAAATGGAAAAAAATCAGTTTGAAATAAAATGGACAGTTTTTGCAACTCTGCAAAAATTTGAATGATCTGACAAAACTTTTACCAGTCCAGTCGTCTCTTATGCAAGTGTACTAATACCGTGGTGACGTCACCTTAGTGAGGCCTAACAGCGGCTCGAAACGACAAGCGCTTATGGCGTATAATGTATAAGGCGATCGCGTATTTCAATTTTTGTTTTAAATCATTATTGCTGTTTTTTTGAAGGGCTTCCGGTTAAAAGAGGATTTTATTATGGAAAAACGAAGTTTTCAAAGCAAAATCCAGAATGAAACAAATACCCACCTACAGCAACCCATTCGAATTAAATATATTGGCAAAAATTGTAGTGATTCAATCTCGTTAGTGGTAAACTTCACACCAACTTATACAGGGCCTGCAGAACATAAACTTATCGTGAGATTGATCGAAAGAAAATTGGGGAGAATGTATTTTACTTTGATAGACATGCCGTTTGTTATAATTACCTATATTTATCTTGGAGAATTCCTATTACCTAAAAAATGAGCCAGTGAGTGTTTTCAATTTCCTGTTGTTGGATTTTTTATCCAATTGGTCGTTAGACTTGAAACAGTAATTTTAAGTAGAGTGTTTGTAGTACATGTTAATATGATAGTTGCAATTTGATCATTGGAATGAATTCTGATGCATTCATGGCCACGAAGCAAATGACCGTTTTCAGAGAGAAATTTGAGAATATATTGAGTTTAAAATGCCCGTTTACATCATTCGAGAATATTTCCCCGAATTCAGAGATTATTTTGTTGAATATAATATACGAATACAAAACTAGTTGCACAATCAAAGCTTGCGGATAAAGTAATTTTCCTCTACTCATACTTTTCATGAGATAGTAATTGTCTTTTATTATTAATTCATCATTATAAATTAAGTTCTGTTTACAAAATTCGCACTGAATTTTTCTGTAATAACCTGCTAAATAGGTTATTACCGGCATGTCATCACTATATTTATCTATATCAAATTCCTTGACTATGATATCTGGATTGAAAGAATGATTTTCTTGGATTTCTTCGGTGAAATCAATATTTTCGTGGAAGCGCCTGATTTGTATATTACCGTAAGTACGAGATTTTAGCGTGAGCAGTGATTGAATTCTGAGCCATTTCACCGATTCATACAATTGTCGAATAGATATGTGATATTGTCCACCTGAAAGTTGACGATATTTCCCGAACCTATGTTCCAAATCATCTGTTTGAAATTTTCCTAGTAAAACATAATTCATCTTGAGTTCGTTGAAACAATATTGTATAACTTCTGTCATTCCATATATAGTGTGAATCAAAGCAGTATGTGTTTGGTTTGTTACTTTATTAGTAGAATTTGCAGATTTCCAAGTTTCTAATCAATCTATCATTTTATGCAAGAAAATGAATTATTCATCGGGACACAAATAATTTATAGCTGTGATAGGTTCTTGAACCACATCATTCAAACGTTTGCCCTTGAGGAGGGGTAAAATGTAATTCACATACTCTACTGTACTTAGATGGAGTAAAATCCTCGCGGGAAACTGAAAGCATGAACTTTTGGACCACCCACATAATTCCCCCGACAAAAGGGAACACAACACTTGAAATGTATTGTTATTTCGCCTATCACAACACAAAATATTCCACAAAACAGTGATTTATCCGCCAATTATTTTGATGAATAAACAACAAAAGAATTCGGTCTCACGACCGCTTCTCATACATACCTAGACAATCTGACGACAGTCGTGAGTCGACACGCGATGGATGGCCTCACTTAGCTGACGTCACGAGCTGTTCACTACCAGCCTTCAGGTCTTGTTAGTATCGGGGGTAACGACCAGTCCCGTCCCTTATACAAGTGAAGTATTTTCCTATCTCAAATGCAGATTCATCTTGTGCATCATTGTATTCGTGATGTATATTATTTTTGTAGATTTCTCACTTGACGCCAAATTTCGATTCGATGACAATGCGCATTTCCGTCAAAAGGAAATCTTCGCGCTAAGAGATCTTTCTCAAGAAGATGAAAAAGAAGTGGCTGCATCGAAATTCGACCTCAACTACATTGCTTTAGACGGCAACATTGGATGCATGGTAAATGGCGCTGGTCTAGCCATGGCTACCATGGATATCATCTCGCTCCACGGGGGCTCACCAGCAAACTTCCTAGATGTAGGAGGTAGGTGCCTTTCATTAATTCCTTTAAACCTGAAATATCTTCAAACAATACCACAATCATAATTAGAAAAGCGTATATTATACATATTTTGGCAAATGAGGTGCCATCCTCAATAGAACTGAAAAGGAGATAAATATTCTTTCAGGATATTCTCCAGCTAGACGGCAAATAAATGAAAGGGGTTGTAATCAAATTCTTACGTCAAATCTATTTCGGAATGATCCCGTGTGTAAAAAATATAAAGTGTTGTAAACAGTTTCTCTCCAAAATACTACACATAATAATATGGTTCATTTGACTACCATGTCAAAATATGTGAAGGTGAAAAATTTACATTATTATTCTCATGGGATCACAAATTTCTTCACAAAACAGGATAGTCTTATTGATTGACATAATCACTGATTAAATCTAAACTATAGTAGACTGATGATTTTTTCCAATTTTGTTATTAGGCCATTTCTATTGCCACATTAGAATAATCGTAAAATGAGGACCATAATATCAAAGCATTAAGTTTTTTTGGAAATGAACGATTTTTTCGCAATTCTTCTTGTTTTTCACCTCATTTTCTTTACCCAAGAATTATCATACATCAATTTTGTAGTCTAGGTAGAATTTTCCCTATCTTAAATTATTGATTGATATTATTTTCCAGGAAAACCAAAGTACTTTGAGAATTTGCAATATAATCTTTTCAATAGTCATGTTCCATATTATAATCATTTGATAAGGTAATAATTTATTTCAATAAATACACTGGTGAAATGGGTGTTTGACCAAAGTCCATCTGAATAGGAATATGATAATACACTTTGAAATAGATGGTAACTGTTATGCCAGTAAAATTGAACGACCTTTGATATCATTTGGCCAACTGTTTAATATAATTCAATGAAATGAAGTCTGCCTGTTCAACATTATTTTTGACAATCGTCAACAAAATACAACCACGAACTACCAGGGTGAACTACTAAATCTCATGGACGGACAATTCTTGCAACATGCTTTCAAGCACTAAAATGACATTATTTATTGGCTTATCACTGTTGATGATTTTCCTGATAGTGCAAGAAATATATTATATTATGATTATTCACATTCTATTCTAATAATGTTCTCAAGATACATGTGCAATAATATCACTATTGCTTCAAACTAACGAAAAAGTAATTTAATTTAACTAACGTCAATTTTGAATGATTAATTCCAATACCAAATTGATACTTTTTCCGCCCATCCTACTCATTGGTTTTTCCATCAGGTACAAAATCATAATATAAAGTGTGACTCACTTCTAATGAAAACACCCCTGTATCTTTTGTACTTGTTTAGTTAAGATTCTGAAATTTGCAGGAGCGGGAGATATACTGAAAATACGCACTATAACCAAGTGGAGTCATCTTCAGTGATATACACTGCTCGCCAACAGCCATGAAACTACACATTTTCGAAAAATGATATGAGGCAAGATACGTTGAAAATCACTTCAGATCGGAATAAGAACAATTTACTGCTTTTTTATATTCTTCCTAGAAAATTTTCAGTTCTGAAATATTAAATTTTGGCTCACTTCTTATGAAAGTACCCCCGTATCTCACGTTATTGACTTTATCTTTGGACCCTCCCTTGCTCTTGCAAATTTCAGAACCCTACCTTAATAATCACGTAAGACACGGGGGTGCTTCCAAGAAATGTGGGACAAAATTTAATTTTTCAGAACTGAGATTTTTTCACAGAAAAAATATGAATATCAGTCAATTGCACGTCCTGATTTCGAATCCGAAGTGATTTTCAACCTATCTTGCCTCCTAATCGTATTTTACGGCAATGTGGGTGGTTCCATGGCTCTTGGAGAGCAGTGTATATCACTGAAGATGACTCCGCTTGGTTATAATGTGTATTTTCAGTATATCTTCAGCTCCTGCGAATTTTAGAATTTTAACTCAACAATTACGAAAGATACAGGGGTGTTTCCATTAGAAGTGGGACACACTGTAAGTACGTCAAAATGATTTATCCATTTCTGGTACTTTGGATACTGCATTTATGTGTTGTTTGATGGACTATCGACTATTTCAATGTACTGACTGAACATTCTCTCTGAGGGTGTGGAACAAATACATAATAAACGTTTTATTCAAAGTGTCATTCTGGCGCAAACATGAGTTGAATCAGTTTTTCAATTTTTTTAAGTCAAATTTGTAGGCCAGTCATTGGGGATTTTTACCTGGAAAAAAGTCCGGAAGTTTTGAAACTTTGTAGGATTATAGTTTCGGGTGTCCAGAACTAAAATTCACAAAATGCACATTCCGGGACATGCCGCCGGCGCCGCCATCTTGCCAAGATGGCGCTCAAAAACGGTTTTTTGAAAATATCTCCAAAACGGTGCGTTTTTAGAAAAAATATGAAGATATAAAAATTCAAGACGAAGAAATTTTCTACAAGAAATGTTCCCAGTATATTTTTGCTGAAGTGAGCCGTTTAGGCCCAAGAGCTGATTGAATGACATCATATTCTGTTAATTTCAATAAACTGCCCCTAACTATCTCCAAATATGCGTATAAATTTATCTTTTATAATGAAACGGGCTATCTGATTGGTTTCTCGTTATATTTATAGCTTCTTGACAAAGGATATTTCCTATAAAATATGTTCCTAGAATATTCTCGCTAAAGTACCCTCGTTAAGGCACAAGTGCCCTTACCAAATTACAAATGTTGCGTAAGATTTCTGTAGTGGCGAGTTTCGGAAATAATATGTGGTATTAAGTGTCCCCAAATCTGATATTTAACGACTTTAAAAATATTTATCACGAAACGGTGGATATCCATTATTCAATTAATCGATGAATTCATCAATTAATCCATGTTAATAATTTATGATCAATCAATTTCGATTTTAAATGCTGTACTTGTTTCCACACCACCCAAGAGGCTAAGTACACGGCGCGTTTTTTTTAACGTGGTTTCCCCTGTAGTCCTAATCCACTCAGGTACTGAAATTATTTTTGGCAAAGGCCAGACGGACCTGGCTCGTTGATTTCGATATATTCAACGGGGAAACTGGTTACCTCAGCTACAGAATCGATGTTAATTTCCTTCAACTCGTCGGATTCTTCTTCTGCAGTCGATAAAGAATCATCATGCAGCGAATGGAGGTCTTCTTCATCGGATTCGTCCAGTGTCACTTGGCTGATATTTTCACAAGTTTTCCCGAAATCATCGAACATCGCAACCCTGCTTTCCTGCATCCGCAGGCTCTACCACAAGCCGCCTTGCACTTACAAGATAAAAAAGCAAGTAGTGCTTTGGAAGCAGGATCTTTCAAAGTAGTTATTGCCAGTTTGTGTTTTCTTCCAACCCCATTCTTCAACTACTTTCGGACAACCACGCCATAGTTGAACCTGATAGTACGTTCTCAACGAATGCTGTCGTGCAGCTGCGCTTGTTGGTGGTAAAGATGCCAAATTGAATTTACTTTTTGTTACCGACTTCTCGAAACACTGGTATCGATATTTATCAAGATTGGTGTGATTTGTGTCTTTGAATCCATAGAGTGCAAGGAAAAATTTCTCACCGGCAAAGGCAACTTGATCAGGGGTGGCATGTTCATTTTTAAAAACTTTAATATGATCTTGTAACTCTTTATGTTTTTCTAATGTTGTTAGAAACTTCATTTTTCCTTGGTTAAATACGGTCTCGCAATTTTTCATGTCCGTTTTTCTCGTAAAATTACTGATTGGCAAATTGTGTTCGTTAGGAAAGGTAATTTAGTTGATGAAAAAGTTCTTGTGTTTTTACCGTTTATAAAAATATCTCATCTAAAATATATATTTTGTGTATTTACTCATATTGGGATGGAGTGGTAAGGACAAGAAAGCAAAATTTCAAATTTCTATGAATTTATGGGCGGTTTTACAGTACGAGAAGGTACCTATATCTACGGATACATAGTATAGGTACGAAATTTACTCATAACCATCCTGCACCCACATACTTCTGGAGCAAAGTCGCCAGATTCGTCGATAATGCAATTTTTATATCGCCCAAATAATCGCAAGTCACAAATGCAAAATTTTTGTCGCATAATTGATCTGAAAATCGTCCAATATAACGAGGAACAAATTGAATAGCCCGTTTTATTATAAAATATGAATTTATACGCATATTATATGAAGATAGTTAGGGGCAGTTTATAGAAATTAACAGAATATGTTGTCATTCAATCAGCTCTTGAGCCTAAACGGCTCTCTTTAGCAGAAATATGCTCATAACATTTCTTGTAGAAAATTTCTTCATCTTAAATTTTTATGTCCTCATATTTTTTCTAAAAACGCACCGTTTTGGAGATATTTTCAAAAAACCGTTTTTGAGCGCCATCTTGGCAAGATGGCGGCGCCGGCGGCGCCGGCGGCATGTCCCGGAATGTGCATTTTGTGAATTTTAGTTCTGGACACCCAAAACTATAATCCTACAAAGTTTCAGAACTTCCGGACTTTTTTCCAGGTAAGCCTTATTTTGGATCCCCAATGACTGAACTATTGAAGGCAGAAAAAATAGTAAGAATTAACACTGACCATTTATCATCCAGTTATTTTTCTGTTCTGAGTAATATGACAATATCAGTTTGATGAATCAATAGCTAGTAGAATTCATTTCATTCCATTGAGCATTTTGCTTACTTTAGTACTTAGAATAAGATGTGTTTTTCTTGACGAAAATGTGACGTGATCAATGAATGCAGTTGTTTTTGATTCAAATGCTATTCTGAAAGAACGATTTGAAATAGGATTCTGAACTAAAGTTTTGAGTAAACAGCTTGAAAGCTAATCAACAAAAGAATAAGGTTAACATTGAAATCACTGAATTTGTCTTTGTGTAGACAAGAATGATAACAGGATGGGGAAAAGTAATGAATTTACGATTCAAATTAGGTTCTTGAAGTTTTGAGCTATAGCTGCTCGGTTCATTTTTGTTTTAAATCATTCCTATGGATGC